TTAGTGCCCAGAGTCAGAACTAAACATGGGGAGGCTGCTTTTCAGATTCATGCTGCTAAAATCTGGAACAATCTTCCTGAAGATGTGAGACAGGCCTCCTCTCTGACAATGTTTAAAACCAGGTTAAAAACGGTGCTGTTTAGCTGTGCATACAACTGAGGGATTTTATATTTTTATCTTTCGTTTTAATGTTCTGTAATTATTTATGATTTTAATGCTATCTTGTTCAGCACTTTGAGTTGCCTTGTGTATGAATTGTGCTATACAAATAAACTTGCCTTGCCTTGAAGCAAATTTCAGTATTACATGTGGACTTAATGACTGCAAATCAACATTTACGAAATATGAGTCCTTTAGACGACAGAGTTTTATGTCAATACAATGACTGTGATGGAGATGAAGATGAGGTGGCCTCTGAGGATTCTGATGAGCCTGGGACAGATTCTGTCACTGAAAATCCTCCCTCTATGGATGAACTGTTACTCAATATCAGAGAAAATCTTTTCTCATTCATTCTGAAATGTAGAGAGAAAAATGACCTTCCAGTCTCTGTTCAAAAAGAAATTGTTGATGATGTCAATTTCTTACTTTGTTTTTTCAAGGAGAACTATGACACTTGTATAGCTTACCACTTGCAGAAAAGTGGTTTTGATATATCGGAAAGTACAGAGCTAAAAAGGGTTCTACAGTCAAATGATTTTTTTGATGAGGCTTCAAAGGCTATCCGATCTCCATATATGATAAAAGAACATTGTAAATCCAAGCTCAATATGATAGAACCTGTCCATTATAAGCTGAGGAACTCTGTAGGACACACTGTGGGCTCTTATTCATATGTACCAATTGATAAGGTGCTTAAAAAATACTGTTCTGATGAGGACATTCGGGATCAAATTCTGTCGAAGACAAAGCCTGGGACAAACAGTGAATTTTTAGTAGACTACTGTGATGGACAAATTTTCAAACAACACACATTTTTTAAAGACCACCCAAATGCCCTGCGGCTGTATTTTTATGAGGATGAGTTCGAAGTAGTAAATCCTTTGGGGTCAAAAAGAACCAAACACAAGCTGTGTGCATTTTATTACACAATAGGCAATTTGGAAAAAAAATATAGATCTCAGCAGAGACACATTCATTTAGCCTTATTGGTACGTTATTCATATGTAAAACAGTGTGGTTTTGATGTAATCTTAAAGCCTTTGGTTGATGATCTTAAAAAACTTTGTACTGATGGTTTTACATTGACTTTTGATGGAACTGAGCACACCATACATGCAGCTCTTGCCACTTTATCTGGTGATAACTTGTCAGCTCACATGATTGGTGGATTTACCATGTCATTTAACTCGGGTAGAGTTTGTCGCTATTGCATGGCTACTCATCAAGATAAGAAACATTTGTTCACAGAAGACAGCTTTGTTTTAAGAACATCTGAAGTTCATCTGTGTCATCTTGCCCGCATCCAACAAGTCCCTGATGATAAAGTAATTTATGGAGTATACCGTCCTTCACCTTTCAACGAATTGCATTATTTTGATGTAACAACAGCTTTACCACCAGACATAATGCACGATTTATTAGAGGGTGTAATTCCGCTAGTAATGAAACTAGTTATTTGCAAAGCTCATTCAGAAAAACTCATAACAATACAAGAGATAAATGAGGAACTGCAAAAAATACACATTGGTCAAAACGACAAAGCAAACAAACCAGTACAGTTATCAGAGAGACTCCAGAATGTTGGTGTTACTGGATCCGCTTCACAGAAGTGGTGCCTCTTCAGGCTGCTGCCTTTTCTAATGGCACACCGTGTTCCACCTAATTGTAAATATTGGCATGTTTTTCTGTTATGTCGGGAGATTACTGAGATTGTTATGGCTCCAAAGGTGAGAAGAGAAAATCTTTTGTTGTTAAATGTACTTGTTCAAGAGTTTCTGACAGAAATGACAGATGTATTTGGGGACGTTATTACACCTAAGTGTCATTACTTAATTCATTATGCAAGACTCATAGAATGGTATGGGCCTCTGCGTTTATTATGGTGCATGAGATTTGAGGGAAAGCACCAATATTTTAAAATGGTTGCCCATAACTGCAGAAATTTTGTTAACATAGCTACAACGCTGAGCAACAGACACCAGTTCAGACAATGCTGGGAGTTTTCCTCACAGAGTTTGCTGGGTGAATTTGAAAAGGTGCCTGGGAAAAGTGTGACCACTCCATTTTTACATTTACCTGTGGAACTCCAGAGAGCCCTGACAGTCAATCACAACCTTTGTAATGTAGATTTTAAAGACAAAAATATTCAACGTGTGTCCCAAGTTAGAGTCAACAATGTCAAGTATGCTGTCAAAGATGTATTTGTCATAGATGTACTGCATTCAGAGAAAATTCCACTGTTTTGGGAGATCAAGTACATTTTGAACATTGATACCTTGTGGCTCCTTTGTGGTAAAATGTTGGTTCCTCTGTCATATGACAGTCACTTTCATGCATACAGTGTAAAGGTTGATGGAGAATGGACTTTACTAAAACCAGGCGATGAAATGGACTTCCAAGTAGTTGACACTTATTCTGTGGATAATAGTTTGTATGTCACACTTCGACATAGTATTTAAAGATGTACAAAAGTAACGTGAAAATGTAAGATCTTCTGTCACGTGTTATTTTTATGTATGCAGTTTTAAGGATGTTTAAAGTTAATGAAATCAAATGAAATGAAATTGAAATTTGAAAATAAAAAATATATTCTCAAATGTATTTGCTACTATCTTTTGTATAATGTACACACACAAAAATATATGCAATAAATAACGGTACTATACTGTACCCTAAAAAGGCCAATTTTGTACCCTTTTTAAAGGTCCATTTCTGTACTTCAAAATAAGGGTACAAAGTTGCCACCAGAGGTACAAGATTGGCCTTTGTAAGGTACAAATTACAAGGGTACAAATAAGTACCCTGTTTCAAGGGTACAAAATTGTACCTTCCGAGGGTACTGCCCCAGTGACAAGCCATTGTACCCCTAAAGGTCCAATTCTGTACTTTATTTTCTGAGAGTGTATAACACTTTTTTGAACACTCAAAGACACTTCATTTGTCCTTTTCATTCACTCCATAGATGATGGAGATGTACTGTAGTCACAGCTGCCCTGGGACAGCAGAGGCAACCAGTATGTGCTTTCAGCCCCTATGATCACAATCAACCATTCGCACACGCAGCAGTGTTTGGGAAATGTGGAGGAATGTTGGCACTTTTCAGCCGCACAGCACCCTGTTCTACCAGACCTGCGGATTATCCTACGGACTGCATTTTGCCTTCAGTTTAGCACTTTTAATTATGAAATATGTTGGTTTTATGGTATATTTTCAATGTTTTAATATTTAAACTATTTTATTATCATTATTATTTATTTGTATATTTTATTTGTGCCATTGTTATTGTTATTTTTACACATTTTTGTGTACAGCACTTTGGTTGGTGTGAAGTTTAAATGAAGGAAGTTTGCATAGCATGGTTTTATAGATGTTGAAAAGCGGTGTACGATTAGAATAAAGATTTAATTCATTTCATTTTGTTGTCTTTGTTATTTACAGTGGGCAAAAAAGTATTTAGTCAACTACCAGAGGGAGGCCTGTAATTTTCATCATAGGTACTTCAACTATGAGAGACGGAATGAGAAAAAAAAATCCAGAAAGTCACATTGTCTGATTTTTAAAGAATTTATTTGAAAATTATGGTGGAAAATAAGTATTTGGTCAACAACAAAAGTTCATCTCAACACTTTGTTATATACCCTTTGTTGGCGAAGGGTATATACAGTACATGACCCTATTCATTCTTTCCTTTACACGGATCACTTGTCCCAGTTCCTTTGCAGAAAAACAGCATGTTTCCACCCCCATGCTTCACGGTAGGTAGTGTTCTTTAGATGGGCGTCGAGTTTAGCTTTTACCAAAAAGTTCTATTTTGGTTTCATCTGATCATATGACATCCTCCCAATCCTCTTCTGGATCATCCAAATGCTCTCTAGTAAACTTCAGACGGGCCTGGACATGCACTGGCGTAAGCGGAGGACTCGTCTGACACTGCAGGATTTGAGTCCCTGGTGGCGTTGTGTGCTTCTGATGGAAGCCTTTGGTCCCAGCTCTCTGCAGGTCATATGGGGAGCCCCATGTGGTTCTGGGATTTTTGCTCATCGTTCTTGTGATCATTTCGACCCCGCGGGTGATATCTTGCGCCCCAGATTGAGGGATTATTGAGATAATCAGTAGTCTTGTGTCTTCCATTTTCTAATAATTGCCCCCCCACCAAGCCGCTTACTTATTGCAGATTCAGTCTTCCCAGCTTGGTGCAGGTCTATAATTTTGTTTCTGATGGCCTTTGTCAGCTCTTTGGGTCTTGTCCATATGGAGTTTGGAGTCTGACTGTTTGAGGTTGTGGAAATACATTCTTTGAAAATCAGTGATTATCTGGATTTTTGTTCCACATTCTGTCTTTCATAGTTGAGATGTACCTTTGAAAATTACAGGCCACACTCATCTTTTTAAGTGGGAGAACTTTCACTATTGGTGGCTGACGATTTTGCCCCACTGTATATGACATTATTATTAAACTCTTCCACAATTCTTGGATTACAGCTGATATTACAAAAACTGTTAGAGAAAAGTATTGACATTGATTGATGAACAAGAGCTTTTGTTAAACAAATATGGATTCACAGGGCTACAAGTATGCAAAGTATATCGTAAGATAAAGACAGTGAAGGTCTGATAAGGTCACACAATTCTACGTATACTCTTTCTGTTGGGACAAAGGACTACAATAACACTTAATGCAGCCAAAAGGAGAATCCTGATACTTATACTTCAGCATCATCATAAGCTTATAGAACGCTTATTACGCAGCACTTTCACCTATGCATTATGAAACCAGACTTCTAGTGATCTGTCTCGGTCCTCCTGAGCTCTGAGTGGTGCTGTCTCCTCCGCCACAGCATCTTCCACCACTGCTCCAGCAACAGCGGACTCTCCGGGCCCAAGCAGCCGCTCACAGTGGCCCAGAGCGCGGCCACTGTCCCTCCACCAAGCCGCCGCGTCTCCAGCCACACACGGGGACAGACAGCAGCTGAAACTGGGGCTGTCAAACCCCGGTCCTGCGTATGGCTCTCCCTAACCTCCCTGTCCAGCACCCAGGCTCGGTGCTTTGGCTGTGAGGGTGTCCGAGAGCGCGTTTTGGTTTTTGGATCACAGACTCGGCGTTGACGCGCACTTGCCAGAGCCGTCAGACGAGGAAGTCAAGCCCGCTGCAAACACGCCCATTTTCGCTGCCTGTGGAGGAGTCGACCCTGGTGCGAGAGACGAGACCTGTTCAGCACACGCAAGCGGACGCCGTCAGACATGCATCCCGTTGGCGATGGCCCCCGGCGGGAGTAACGCGAAGCACAAGGCCCGGTCTGCGCAGGTACGTCCACGACTCTCCACGATCCAGACCTTTGCTGCTGCTGCTGCTTCTGAATCTGCTTCACAGGAGTCAATGGAGGCCTGTCTGCGCCGTTTTGCCCCAGTGTTTACGTACTCATGTGCATATGTTGGCGCACATTTTAGCACTGACTTTGCGCATGCCAACATCTCGCACCTGCTGCTGGACACACGCGTGGATCGTGTAGTCATCACAATCATAGATGAAGCAAGCTTAGACCCCCGGGAATGATTATGGCCCTGGTAGATCTGAGGCTTAACAACGTGGGTAGTAGCCTGTGCGTTATTACAAGTCTATAAAGACGGTTAGTAATACAGTTTGTGCAGAAAAGGGTGTAGGTCACGTCCACATTCAATGGACATGTCGTTAATGTCCATTTACTGGTGTCACATGGAGGGTGTAATAATTTATCTCTTGTTCCTCGCTGAGTTATTATATGAGGTCGTCCATTATTGCTTTTACGAATCAGCAACTGAAAAACGCACACCAGTCTGTAACACCAATCTCTGCACTGCACACACATAAGACGTGTGTTTGTGGTGCTATGAGAATGAGTGTGTGTGCTGTATGGTAATTTTCAACTAATTGTTCTTTTGCATCTCCATTCAATGTGCGTCAAATAGATATTCATAAATATTAGGAGAGGAGATTACAATGACAAACAAGAAAAGGCTCCGTGTGTTTCACTTAAGTCCAGTTTACAAATATAGGTAGAGAGGACCATCACAAAGACAACATTTACAAACTGTTGTGTTGATGCTGAAAGGTTTGTACTTTTGTTCAGAACTCGTAGTAATTACATGTGAAGTGGGAATAAACAGGGAATCTACAGATTTGTGATAAGCAATAGTTTGTTTATTCTCTTATCTTGCTGTAAATTGCTCTGTTTCCTTTGGTGCCAGTCCTCAATAACCTCTCAGTTTAATCTGTGTAGAAGGAAAGGTCATTCTGGCAGGTCTGGTATCCAATATTTATATCCAGGTCATGGATAGAAATATTTCAAAAGCATCATTAATATTGAACTTTATTCTTTAGAGACTTAGAGAGACATTAATTCAATGCCATTATTTTTTGTCACAAAAGTTGTCAAATGTCATAGAAAAGTATTTATCATTAAAATTATAACATTTTTATTTCACTTTTAGGTTAAAGACAATATATTTTTATTTTCCCAAAAGAAACTTTATCTCAGGTAAAAGGTAGGGTGATCTGCTGTGAGTCAGGTGCTCTTCAGGATCCAAATACAAAAAGCTCATTTTTTAAGGGACAAAAAAACTGACTTTAAAGTAAAATTTATGTTATTTTTACGGGACATCAACGTGTTTCGACCGATGAGGTCTTCATCAGGTCAGACAAACTGCCCTATTTCATTAATTTGAGGAGAAATAGTAACATTTTATTTACAAAATGATCAGCTCAACATGGAGTGACAAAAAGACAAACCTATATCCCCCCCATCCCAGAAGTCATACTTTGTGAACAGAGAAACCTTTTCCTCAAAACCATGTTCTCTTTTTAATTTGTGTAAGAAAGTTCATCACTAGTTTATTATCTTTTCTTCAAGTCAACAATTAATTCAATAATAACTTTTTGACATCAAAAGATTGATTTATAATTCCTGTTTATTGATTTTATGTAGTTATGCAGGCGTGTTCGTTACAAAATAGTATAAATAAAACTTATATAACACACAAATGTTGTTAGACAGAGCTTGATGCACAGATGGAATTTTTTTACAGAACAAAAAGGTTTTGGCTAAAGTTCAACATGTTCTCTGCCTAAAGAAAGAGTCACTATTTGATGTTTTGGGGCTGAACAATGAACAAAAGAGTCAAAAATATTCATGATGTGATTGTACCTCAGCTTGAAAGAATAAATTTATGAATAATTAAAACTGAATTTTGTTACAGATCTCACTCCGGCTGAAGTATGGAGCGAGACACAGGCAGAGAATCATCCAATGGGAGCCAACCTTCGCCTTCTGACCCCGCCCCTGCCTCCTCTGGCTCCGCCCCCGCCCCGCCTCGCCTCACCCCGAACCCCCTGCTCTTGGACAGTCCCAGCGCAGCCGCCATGTCCGTCCCCATCACCTGCTCCCCTCCTCCCCCCCTCACCCCTGCTCCCTCGCTCACCACCTCTGCCCACGTCATCAAATCGGCCACGCCCGCCTCGCCGCACCTGCTGGTCCCTGCTCCGCCCAAACTCACCGCCACAGCCGCACCTGCCCTGCGCACCTACGCCCGCCCCATCTTGCCATCTCCGGCCAAAACACAACCACCAAACTCCACAACTAATACAAGTACTACTACAGCTGCTGTGGCCGTTACCATCACGTCTGCTTCTGCTCCTACTACTACTTCTTTACTGGCAAAAACATCCTGCGCTTTGACCAATGGCAGCACAAAGACAGTTGCCACGACAACCTCCACGCCAATCACGCCTTTCCACACTCCAGCGAGCCCCCCGGGACGACAGGTACGTTGTGTCTCTGCACATTTTACACTTGTTTGTCATATTTTCAATCATAGTGAAATGGTGAATATATACAGTTGAGCTTTAAAGTGGACACATCCAGCTAGAGATGTTATTATCACCGTTTAAACACATATTTTTGAGATTTTTTTTGCGTTTTATTTATTGAGCCGGTCTGGGGAGATTTCAAACAGGCTGTGCTAAGCAAGGCAGCCCAGGAATGTACAGGAACTGGAGGCTTTTTTGCCAAGAAGAACGTAAAGCCTTGTATGTTACTTACTTTTAATGAATCTGGCATAAAAATGTCTCAGAATTCAGTTGGTTTAATGGGAGAGGTCAAAAGGACAGATCTGGGGGTTGCAATAGTTTCATGAATGTGGGAGACCTGGTGTTAACAATTTCAATCTACACATTCTGTCCTGGAGGCTGCTCATGTGTGCCAACTTTATGGGAAATCCCCTTTAGTCATCAGTAAACTGCCACGGTTTACTCACGTACTTACATAAACGAGGATTTGAATCTTATTTTTCTATTTCGCAGAGGACACAGAGCATGGAGCTGCTTTGAAAAAGATCAGTGCTAAGTGCATAAGAACCAAATTCAGACCCAGGACTATAAAATAAATTACAAATGCACTTTTTGTAACCCAAACCAACTCTACCTAGCAGAAAAAACATACCAAAGACTTATCCTGTCAAACCTTTGAAGCTAAGCAGGACAGGGCCTGGTTAGTGTTGTGATGGGAGACATAAGTTAAGATGAGAGATAAAATAGACTTTATTGATCTCACACTGGATAAATGTACATGTCACATTTGGCATGGATAGAGTCGCTCAGATTGTGCAAAAGACAGAAGTGTGCAACATGTTAAAGGCAAATATAGTCTATGTTCAGGATATGCTTCATTAGGAAAGACACATCACACACATTAGAATGAGTCTGGTGCGTGTGTGAATGGTTGATGCAGTTCTGAGGGGCCGATGGCACCTCACTTCTGTCAGTGTGCCCCAGGGCAGCTGTGGCTACAGTAGTAGTTTATCACCACGCTGTATGGAGTGAATGAATAATGACATGTGAAGCATCTTTGAGTGTCCAAAAAGCGCTTTATCAAACTGATGCATTATTGTTATAATTAACCAAAGTTTTACTGTGAAAGAAGGACTACCATGTATCTGTCCTGACTAAAAGCAAAACATTTTTTTAGTTTGTACTTTTTAGTGTGACCCTATTCTATACTGATGTAATATTCATATGTTTAAAATCCAGTGTGATCGTGGTGAGCGTAGCCTCTGCTTTCAGCCCTCTGCTTTCAGCCCTCTGTTTCAGCCCTCTGTTTCAGCCCTCCTCTTCTCTGTTTGTGGCAGGTGTCTCAGTCTGTTCCTGTGGGCTCTCCTCCGCTGGCTCGGACCAATCAGAACCCAGCTCCAGTCCGACAGAGAGTCTCCCAACAGACACTGCTGCTGGGGAAGAGCCTCCGAGGAGCGGGCCAGGACCAAGTGCTGCTGCGCGCCCAGATGGTAAACAACACACACTCTAGATTTAAAGCTGAGGTACTCTACTTTCAGACAACTGTTCCTTGAAGTAGCAGCGTTATGTTTTAAGGGTGTAAAATCGCTCTCACACACTTCATACGCTTTTCTAACCACCTAAGCTGAAGTGCGATCGCAGAGATATCAAAGCGGTTGGTTGTAGGTCTGAAACTGTGTGATATAATCTATGTCACTAGGCCCCACCTCTCAAAACTGTTTTATCTACATACAGGATCTACATATTCACCTTATCACCTCTGTCACAAGTTTAGATCAGCTTTTTCAGACAGAAAAGCAAAGAAACCAATCAGTTCTCAGCCCAAACTGCCACTATAGTGACTCTACAGGGCTCTTTCTTACCGTACCTGCTGATTTTAGTATAAGGGACTTTCAATGTACGAATTTAAATGATTCACACTCAAAGGTGATGATTGGAAAATATGCTTTAAAAAGTATTTGGCGCTTATTTCGTCTGCTTTGCTCTTTGATGCTGTTTGTGTGGCGCCTTTAACCCTGCCCTCTGTGTGCTGTCCCTGTTCTCTCTCTGTTCTCCTGTCTGTCTGGTCTCTGATTTTCGGGTCTTGGTCTGTGGTCTGTGTGTCCCCGTGAAGCTGATCCTCACGTCTGCCATGAGACCCTCCTCTTCCTCCTCTGCCCCCTCCACTCCAGCCTCTGCCCAGGTGAGCTGCTGCTGCTGCTGCTGCTGCTGCTGCTGCTGCTGCTTCTGCTGCTGCTGTGTGCTTTGTCTGTAGCGACTGTAATGATTACTATAAAGCTGACATATTTGAGTTTTAGTTTAGTTAAATTTAAAAAAACAATAATTTATTAAAGGGATTTTCACGAACATAGTTTGCATCAGTTTTTCCTTAATAAACTATTCTTTGGCGATAAAATCCCTTTGAATAGAAGACTCTATACGGTTCAAATCTAAAAATAGGAAATAATGAAATATTCTTGTGTTTTGTTCAGATCCAGAGCCTGACGCTTCGGCCTCCTCCCCCCGGGACACTCACTATCCCGCCTTCACTGCGTCTTAAACCCCCCATGTCCACTTCCTGCTCTGTGGCTACGCCCCCTCCTTTGTCCCGCCCACAGGCTGCTTTGTTCCCGCCCCTAAGGCCCCGCCCAGTCACCACGACAACCACAGACAACATCAACACCACGACAACGGCCAGTCGACACCTCTCCGTCCCGCCCCCAAGTACGTGGAAGACTTTTATAATGTGTTTGTTGTCATATTTGCGACTCAATAATTAAATTTACATCATATAAGTCAATATTTTTAACTACAACCTGTCTCTTTCTTCCTGGTAATAAAGCCACAGAGAAAAGGTGCGTCTTATGCAAGGATTTAAAGTCCTCGAGTGATTTTGCAGTTCTAATGTGCAAAGAAAGGTAAAGAGTTCCACAGCTGTGGTCCTATCACAGAGAAGGCTCCTCTAGTCTTCAGCCTTGTCCTAGGGACAACAAAAAGGTGCTGATTTGCAGAGTGCAGAGCTCTGTTTATATTCAAAATCTCCAAAAACTATGAAATCCTTTGCTGGCTGTGTTAAGGTTCAAGCACAACTGTATAAGACATGAGTTTGAGCTCACGTCTGTCTCTCTGTTCCAGCCCTGTACTCTCCTGTCCGGGCCGTCCCACTGAGACCTCGGCTGCTGTCTCCAAACGGTCACCGATCTCCAGCTCCAAAAACCTTCCACCCCATCGCTGCGGCCGCTCCGCCCACAACCACAGGCCACACCCCCATAAACCGGTCCATACCGGGCCTCAAAACACAGTCTCTCCTCTCCCCAGGACCGTCCCCTGCGCCCTGCTTTGAGCGCTCGCCGTCCGCCGCTCGGCAACTGCAGATTATTGCTCTTTCCTCGGGCCGGCAGCTCCAAAATACTAATACGGCTCCTCAGAAGCTCGCAGTGCATTCTGAAAGCAAAACTGTGCTTCCGCTCAGCCCCTCGTCAGGCAAAAGGAGCTCGCCGCTACCTTCCACAACTGCTCAGAAAGAGAGACTAAAACCAGACAAAAGCGAGGAAGCAGATAAAGTACCTAAAGACTTCAAAATAGGAAATGTTGACCAAAGAGAGAAGGACAAATCAAAAGTCACTGGTGACAAAGAGGATGCTATTCCAGCTAAAAAACCTAGACTGGATGAAAGCGCCAATGCGAAAGACAGCACGGATTCGCAAACTGTAAAAAAGCAAGAAGAGGAGAAGAAAAAGGCTGATGCTGCAGCGGAGCAAGCTAAAAAAGTACAAGAAGCTAAAGACTCGAAAAACGAGACAAAACCCAGGATTTCTGAAGCCATTGCGCCAACGTCACAGACAAAAGCTTCTCCAAGTCCGACACAGAAGTCGAGCCCAGGTGCTATAGCGTCGCCGGTAAGGACTCAGCTCAGTGTGGCGACTGCGGCGGTTTCCGGGCAGCCAAACCAGAGCCCCGTCTCCTTAGCTGTTCCTGTGTCTCCCGTGCAAGAGGTTACGACCAATCAGAGCAGGTTAAACGGGCTGCATTCAACCAATCAGGATGACAACCTCTCCATACAGTCCGACAACCAATCAGGTACATGCGCTCCGGCAACTTTAAAAATACAAAACTTTGATTTTTTTTTTTTTTTGTGGGAGCTGTAGGAATGGAGGTAGTCGGAGCAGCAGTATTTTTTCTAGAACCAATTTTTTTTTTGTGAGATTAGAAGTTATTGCCCCCACTCAGCCACAAATTCATTTTTTCAAGCTTTACACAATACAGGCATGTTAGCAGCAGACACTGAGGTCCCAAAGTGTATAATACCATCATTTATTCCAAGTATTTCTTTTACAGAGGACCCCATAAGAATTATTTATTATATCTGCTACTTCAGAGTTAGAAAGATTTTTTTCTTGACATACGGCACATACTGAAAACATGTGCAAAAGGTGAGTGAATGAACGGTGAAGGTCAAAGAACATAAAAAATTAACCTTTATATAAAATCCAAATTAAAGTAATAAAGATTGTATTTTTTTTTAGGGCTGGGACTCGATTAAATTTTTTAATCTAATTTATTAAGGCTTTGTAATTAATTAATCACATTTTAATTGCAAATACATATTTGACCTGAAAACAGTGAAAAGTAGTTTTTTTTCAGATGGATTTTTAGTTTACCAAATGATATATAATGACTGAATACATAAGCAACACATGTTCATTGTGGATGATAAGGACGGACTTCTTTCCCATCAAATAACGTATCTGTCATCGCCTCCACGCTCTCTGACCACAACAGACGCTTTTTAAGCCCAAAATCCTCTGCGCTAGCAGTGAGCACTAAAGCTTGGCCTGCGCTGTTTGCTAAAGCTTTTATAATAAGTTTTTGATGTGTACATTCGGACTAAAAATCAACAATAGCTGCTCACACACCTGTGTCTCGCTCCTCCTCCTCCTCCTCACACACAGAAGTCGCTGCTCCTCCTCCTCACACACAGAAGTCGCTGCTCCTCCTCCTCACACACAGAAGTCGCTGCTCTTCCTCCTCACACACAGAACAAAAAAAGTCACGGAGCCCAAGTTGGTGCACCAGTACAATCGGTCCGTCTGAAACTCTTGCAGTGAGGAACCTTCCGCGGTGCAAAAATAGATACGATTAAAATGCGTCAATTTTTTTAACGCGTTGATTTTTGTGTAATTAATTAATCTTAAATAACACATTAAAATCCCGGCCCTATTTTTTTTACTAATGTTGATCAATGCTGAGAATCTCGATATAGCTTTCAAATCTGTCATATATCTAAAAACTATTAAAAATCTCCTTTTTTCTAGCTCTTTCCAGTCTATCGTCCCAGTCTCCCCCATGCTCCCCCTTCGTCTCCCCCACTGTGGAGCCCTCCCTCCCCCCTCCCCAACCTCCGGAACGCCCCACGGACCTCAGCCTTAACCACAAACCGGACCAAACTAACCATGTCCAGAACCACACAACAGAACCCCTAACCGCACCAGAGGCCCTCAACCCATCCGAGGAAGAGGAGGAGGAAGAGGAAGAGGTCTGTCCGTGGGAGCCCAAAGCGTGGCCGGACGGACAGCAAGTGCTCACTCATCTGGTGGAGGGCTTTGTGATCCAAGAGGGTCTGACGCCATTCCCAGTAAGAGAATCAAAGGTCCTCAACGATATAATACTTTTAACCAGATGTGTGTGGTTCATTCATGCATGTTTCAGTCTGCGTTTACATGGGTAGAAGACAAACCAGTCAGACCACTCTCACTGTACATGTAAATTACAAGATGCAGACTCAGACCTCTCTTGTCTCAGTATACATGCAGACTCAGACCTCTCTTGTCTCAGTATACATACAGACTCAGACCTCTCTTGTTTCAGTATACATACAGACTCAGACCTCTCTTGTCTCAGTATACATACAGACTCAGACCTCTCTTGTCTCAGTATACATACAGACTCAGACCTCTCTTGTTTCAGTATACATACAGACTCAGACCTCTCTTGTCTCAGTATACATGCAGACTCAGACCTCTCTTGTCTCAGTATACATACAGACTCAGACCTCTCTTGTTTCAGTATACATACAGACTCAGACCTCTCTTGTCTCAGTATACATACAGACTCAGACCTCTCTTGTCTCAGTATACATGCAGACTCAGACCTCTCTTGTCTCAGTATACATGCAGACTCAGACCTCTCTCTTGTCTCAGTATACATACAGACTCAGACCTCTCTTGTCTCAGTATACATACAGACTCAGACCTCTCTTGTCTCAGTATACATACAGACTCAGACCTCTCTCTTGTCTCAGTATACATGCAGACTCAGACCTCTCTTGTCTCAGTATACATACAGACTCAGACCTCTCTTGTTTCAGTATACATACAGACTCAGACCTCTCTTGTCTCAGTATACATACAGACTCAGACCTCTCTTGTCTCAGTATACATGCAGACTCAGACCTCTCTCTTGTCTCAGTATACATACAGACTCAGACCTCTCTTGTCTCAGTATACATACAGACTCAGACCTCTCTTGTCTCAGTATACATGCAGACTCAGACCTCTCTCTTGTCTCAGTATACATGCAGACTCAGACCTCTCTTGTCTCAGTATACATACAGACTCAGACCTCTCTTGTCTCAGTATACATACAGACTCAGACCTCTCTTGTCTCAGTATACATGCAGACTCAGACCTCTCTTGTCTCAGTAAACATACAGACTCAGACCTCTCTTGTCTCAGTATACTGTACATGCAGACTCAGACCTCTCTTGTCTCAGTAAACATACAGACTCAGACCTCTCTTGTCTCAGTATACTGTACATGCAGACTCAGACCTCTCTTGTCTCAGTATACATACAGACTCAGACCTCTCTTGTCTCAGTATACATACAGACTCAGACCTCTCTTGTCTCAGTAAACATGCAGACTCAGACCTCTCTTGTCTCAGTAAACATACAGACTCAGACCTCTCTTGTCTCAGTATACTGTACATGCAGACTCAGACCTCTCTCTTGTCTCAGTATACATACAGACTCAGACCTCTCTTGTCTCAGTATACATACAGGGTCCTCTCCTCCCATGTAACTGCATTGAATGTTTCCACATTTGTCAAGGATCCATTGCAAAAGAAATAAGCTGGACATAATCTCAAAGGGAAATAATTTTATAACACTTTTAAATTATTATTTAAAAATGCTTTGAAAAGGCAGCTTTAAGTCAGGCTTCATCTGCTGTTTAGTTTGTTTGTCCATAATGGCTTTAAACATATACATTCATTATCGTAGCCTACGGTCTTTGAGTAAGAGCTACCTCTCCTGATTTCACAGTGATATTGAACTGTGCATTGCAACACTGGAATTGGAATCAGTTCTGTGTCATTGCTTTGATGAACTACTTTCAGCAGATGGTTGCCCCAGATCGGACAGCCTTGTCTTTTATAACCACATTAGAGGCTGTCACTGGAGGCAGCAGCAGGTGGTAAAACAATTATTATAACAATTATTTTGCAATGTTTCATTTACCCTGGACTGTAACACATCTGCATGTTTTTGTCTGTGAAGTCCATATGTTTCAATCACAAAAGAATGGTTTAGCTCAAGCTAATCACTCACAAACCAAACTGGCAGATTTAATAGAATGCTTTGACTAAAATATAATTGAAAAGGAAAAGGTTGTGCATCAATGAATCAAAGTTCCTCAAAGTTATCTCCGTCTCACTTCTAATAATCTACTTATAGTTTTATAATAAACATTCAAGATGGAAATATGTTTAAGCTGAAGCTCCACCAACAACATAAAAAGATTGATCTTTACAACAGTGGTTCTCTTGTGGACTGGGACTTCCAAAGATAATATTTGAATGGGTTGTGAATAATGGCTTTCATTGTCAACAATGTTACATTTTCTGAGGAGAAAAATCCTTATGAATTTAGGAGATTTATTTAAATTTGACTTTTTGAGTTTGTGACCACGTCAAAACATTGTTGCTCATCAAACAATGTTTTAAACAATGATCGTTTTAGATCCATCCACATTAATATCAGAGAGTGTGGCACAAATGTTTAACTTCTATCCAAAAGCTTCTGCCTCAGTCCTGTAACAGTGACAGCTCAGTGTTCTGCCCTGAAAAAACAAAAGTATTGTCCATTAATTCATTTTTTGCAATTTCTCAAGATAAATTACGTTCTTCACATTAACGTTGCTGTGTTGAAGTCGCTAATTTTAGAAATTGTTGACATTGCACTCCTCCCTCTGGTGGCAGCACAAGGAGTTACAGGCGGAAACCATTGTTTACCCTTCATACTTGTTTCACCATGTTTTTCATATTTAAGATTCTTACAACATTTAAATCATTCTGAAAGCTGATTGTACTGGGAATAGATTGTCTGTAGATTTCTTAAGATTTGTTTCTCAAAACAAATGTACTTATTCCAAGATTTTTCACTTACACTAGATGTTGGATTAATTTTATTTTTGGAGTATTATTCAATGCTTATAAAACAAATATGAAAGTATACAGCATTTTACATGATTTATTCCAGTGCTTTAAGCCACGCCCTCTCATCCTCATATCTCAGTGATGTCAGTCTTTCTCTTCCTCATCTGTCTGATCACACACATGTGTAAAGGCGAGCGGTTTGGTTTTGCAGGTGAACAGGTCGTCTTTACTGGTGGCAGATCAGGAACCCAAACCACAGGAAGTGAACGGGACCAACGGCAATGCCACTTCTCCGATCGCCACGGAAACTAGGAAACAATCAGAGCATTCCACCGACTCTGAGGAGGAGGAGGAGGAGGTAGGAGGAGGAAGAGGAGGAGGAGAGCCCGACGAGCACAACTCCACCACAACAAGTGAGAAAACAAACCATGATCCATAACAGTGATATCTTTAAGCACTACTAAACAATAAATAGAATCAATAAATAACCACCATATCAAAAACGCCAGAGATCTATAGAGCTGCAAAGTGCGTGGAAATTAGAGGAAGATTATCCATAAGAAATCTCTACAGGGATTTCTATTTAAAGTTGAAAATGTTTAGCAAAATGTCTGTTTCAATGGAGTTTCTTTCAGCTAAAACCTCCTAACCCTAACCCTTGAAACTCCAAAGGGAATTTTACTTCCAGAAACTTAAAGAGCGACTAAACACCAAATCAATTTTTTCAACTCATAAACTGCATAAATGTGTATATTGTAGTGCTGTCTACATATCCTGGTCATTTTTTTTATATTTTAGTTCAAATTAGATAAAATATCACTTTTGAGCCAAAAAACGTCTGTGTGGTGCCCTCTCAACCTTTTTGGTGGTACTACATTTGAATTTGGTTCTGGCCTCTCCATTGACTCTGAAGTTCTCTATGACATCAGTTGTTTTGTGTGACGTCAGTCTGTCAGAGCCAGTGATATAAACCCATTCAACTCTCACACACGCCCCAGCTGCAGTTTGGAGTATTCTGGCGCCATCTAGTGGATTAAAATTAAATTACATGAGTCATTCTGAGATTATTGAGTGTGATTAGGTTCAGGTGTGTAGCTTTACAATTATCTTAGTGTGTAAACAAGGGTGGAATGAGACTTTCTGGTCTGTAAACTATTGCTTTAAGCAGCAATGACAACTGTCTGTTTTTTTTAGTGAGACAAGTGAGCTGTCAATCACAGCCCAGACCACGCCCAACTCTAAGCCCCCCTTCTTGCCCCTTGGTCCTCCAGGCAACGCCCTTTTAAAAGAAAATTTTCAAATCTTCATGTGGGCGGAGTAAGGCTGGGCACAGGTGTTTAGTCGCTCTTTAAACTTCCGTCACTTTGTAGCTCCATTTTAATCGGTGATCGCAATATAAAAGTGACGATTACAGTGACAAACTTACATGGGGTGTGTTCGGATTTGTTTTTTTATCACTGTCCACGTTTGGACTTCTTTGCAAACGTGCTTTTTGGTTCATTATATTCATCTGTTGGGATTTTTTCTATCCATTCAAACTCTTGTCTTCGCTCTCCCAGTGTGGAAAAAACTACAGCGTCAAGTGGATGTTTGTGGGCATTATATTAATTGAATGATAAATTAAAACATAGAAAAATATGCATAAGTATGTAATGGTTTAATGGAAGAAGATTAGCCACCGCGCTAATCTTAATGAAACTAAACTAAACTAAAAAAGTGACGTCGCTGGTTGTGATTGGATCGGCTCGGATCGGCAGATAGTTTGTACACTTGAGTAAAACTTTCTTCACAGTTTTTACTTCTCCACTCAAACATTTACTATTCAATTCAATCCAAATAATGTATTCTTCACCACGTAGACTTAGCATAATATATCCCCTTTAATAACGGACTGGTAACCTTTGTAAACCTGACGACTTCTGGTGTTTTTTGTCAACTTTTCAAATAGTTTTTGGTTCGTTTTGAATCATGTTTAAAATGTAACTGAACTATAATTGTCATGGGAGCAAAAAAAACCCAGAATGGCAAAAATGTAGTTATTTGATAAAGCAAAAAACAAGACAAAATCTAGAGAAAATTTACAAATGTAAGAGTAACAGGTAGTGAAGGAATACACAGGGTTAGACTAACAAGACTAATCAAGTGAAACACATGAGGGCAGGGCATCACACGTCAGGAAGTAGAGCTGAGGAAGACACAGGGGGAACAAGTCACACAATAAAACAGTAAAATAAAAACCGTCTCTGTGTGTCCTCAGAGCCGCCGCACAGGGACCGCGCCGTGCTGCACTGTCAGTTCTGTGGAAAACGAGGCCACGCCCACAACTTCATGAGGTCCAAACGCTTCTGCTCCACTTCCTGTGCGCGCGGGTGAGTCCAGCTGCAACCTGTCTCTGAGCACCACCACCAACACTCAGGGGAATCCTTCAAATCCTAAATCATACGATGTGAGGCCATGTTCAGACTGAGACGCTGCGGAGACGATGGTATTCAAAGTAGTTCTAGTGCCCGGCCAGTAGGGGGCAGTGGATCTTTACAACACGATTCACTTCCTCAACAACATCCTCCTCAGGCCGCCGCAAAGACGTGAAAGAAAGAACCAACATCAGAGCGAAGTTTGGCCAATGAACAAAGCAATCTCCAGTTTATCAATCAATCAATCAATCAAATGTATTTATAAAACACAATTCATACAGTGTAACCCAAAGTGCTTCACAAGCAATTAAAAACAAACAAAAACATAAAAACAGTGCATTTACGTATAAAACATATTGTATTAAAAAGATAAAAGTTACGAACATTTAAAAAATAAATAAATGCTTCAGATTAGTCATATGCATTCCTTAATAAGACAGTTTTCAGCCTGGACTTAAACATTGCCAGGGTCGAGGCCTGTCTCACAAGCTCAGGGAGAGTGTTCCAATTCTGGCCGCATAGACTTCAAACGCTGCCTCCCCATGTTTAGTCCTGGTTCTGGGCACTAACAGGAGTCCAGTCCCTGCGCTCCTCAGTGTCCGAGCCGGTTCATATGGCGCTAACATGTCTCGAATATACTGTGGTGCGAGGCCATGTAGAGACTTATACACAAGTAGAGCTGCTTTAAAGTCAATTCTCTAACTAATATGGTCGTACTTCCTGGTTCTAGTCAGGACTCGAGCTGCTGCATTTTGGATGTACTGCAGCTGTTTTGCCGCTTGTTTGGAGAGACCTGTGAGCAGGCCATTACAGTAGAGACTAGAGACAAAAGCATGGATAAGTCTTTCTAAGTCAGGTTTAGACACAATACCTTAAATGATAAAAAGCCACTGATGTTGTTGAATTTGAGTCCAGAACTACCCCAAGATTTCTAACCTGATTTGCAGGTTTCAGGGAGAGAGACTGCAGGTAACTGGTGACAGCTTCTCTTTGCTTCTGAGGTCCAAAGACAATTGTTTCTGTTTTATCAGAATTAAGTTGCAGAAAGTTGCTTTGCATCCACACACCAATTTGTTGGATACAATGGCAGAGTGAATCCAATGGTCCATATTCTCCTGAAGTTAGTGAGACGTAGAGCTGAGTATCATCAGTCAACATCAGTCAACAACAACAGGCAACATTTACCTGCAAAACGTATCGAAAAATAAGTGCAAAATAAAAAAAGTACTCAAATTTGGCAAAATGTATCGTAGTTTGAGCACATTCTGACTGCTTTAAAACACGATTTGCCAATGGGACAGAGCAAAATGACCTTGTTTTAAAAATATACAAGAAATGTCTCTCTTGGAATGAGAAAATAAGACTTTGTCCCATTGGTGAGTTTGGTTTTAAGACACTCAGAATGTGCTCAGATTAAAGATGCAGTCAGTGATTTTTTCCAGACGCATTATTTTTAAAATATTGTGGGAAAACGTCCCTAAACCCTAAAAGTATCAAGTTCTCATGTTTTTTTCAAATAGTAATGGAATTGACCAGATGCCAATAGTCTCCAAACATTTATAATAAACCAATGGGATGAGTTTACCCCCTTCACCCTCTTCCTGTTTCTCACGAGATGAACAGAAAATGCCAATTTCACGTTTGTCACCCACTCTCCCTGTTGTGTCAAAGAAAAGATAATGCTAGATGTTTGGTTTGGTGGAGAAACGAGGGGAAGGGGAGTGGTTCCGAGTTGGTGCTACGGCTAAGCTAACAAGATCGCTTACTGCACCTTTAAGATAAAACCCTCTAGATTCAAGCATTTATTACCTCATGTTTTGTCATTTTTCATAGTGTAGATTAGTGGGGGCAACAGTAGCTCAGTTGGTAGAGCATTGGCCTTTGGGCCGGAAGGTTGTGGGTTTGAGCCACATGATCATGGGTCCTACTCCAACTGCTCCCACTAATGTCTGCAATCGTTATGTCCTTGGGCAAGACACTTAACCCCACATTGCCCGATGCTCCCGCTGAAACACCAAGGCTGTAGCACCAATGATTTAGCAGCCATCTTCCTGTGGACTCACCACCTGCAGAGGATCAGAGGGACTGGTGCTTTGAGAAATGGGTGGCAGCTCTCATTGCCATCCCCCGACCCAGAAATGGACTAATAAAGGGGTTGAAAATGAATGAATGCATAGTGTAGATTAAAAACGCATGAACATGAATTTAAGAGTTGCTTTTTCAAAATATCTGCCCTGGCGAAAATGTATTCTCTGTACTACTGCATTGGACATGAGTGTTCAGGCTTTTTTCAGACTCTTTCTGATGAAGTGACACATCAGTGATCGGTGCTCTCTCACACCTCGCACCTACAGCAGCCGCACTCACCACTTCCTGTTTCAGACATGCACAGGCAAAACCAAGCACAGCTGAAAATCCACATGCTGTTGTAGTATATTCTAGTATGTATTGTTGTAAAGAAACACACGGGAACTATCCACACTCTCAGAGCTATAGGGCTGTCAAAAGCAGACAATAGTAAGAACTAAAACTGGATTCGAAACTAGACACTCAGCTCAGCAAGAATTGACACGTGCACTATTCTACATGCAAAGTGCTGTTGTTTTAGACATTTGTGTTGTAAATGAGAGTGTTTTTTTTTAAATATTCATACATTACTTTGCCGTACCAGGGATAGAAACCTTCAAGACATTAGGAGTTGTCGGCCCCAGTCCAGATCCTTGCACTATGTAATTGTTTGGGAAAGTAAAACTGGTGATGTCCTGATGCCCAGGTGTGAGCCAAAAATGAATTTGAATTTGTTGGGCATTTTTGGGCGTCTTCCATCATGTAACCTCTGTTTAACTAATGTACTTTCTGGACTATAAGGCACAGCTGTATACAACCCGCACCACCGGCATTTTACTGTTGAATGCGCTGGGAAACGGCTGCAGGTCCTAAGTAGCTCTGAAACAGTTTTGTGCAGTACAGTGTGCATAGTTTTGCACTGGTCCAGACCGGAGCGGAGAGGATTCATGGCCCAAAACCAGGATCAGGTGAAAGTCCACTGGAGGAATGCTAACTTTTAGAAAAATGCTAATGAACATTTAGCATTTTACTTTGGACTAGAGCAGAGAAAATGCTCCGAACCAAGTGGCTACTCCACCTTTTAAACTATCCTGCTCCACCCAGAGGCTACACCACCTCTGCTGCTGTGAGCCGTCCTGCTCCACCCAGAGGCTACTCCACCTCTTCTGCTGTGACCCGTCCTGCTCCACCCAGAGGCTACTTAATCTGACGCTGTGTCCCGTCCTGCTCCACCCAAAGGCTACTTAATCTGACGCTGTGTCCCGTCCTGCTCCACCCAAAGGCTACTTAATCTGACGCTGTGACCCGTCCTGCTCCACCCAGAGGCTACTCCACCTCTTCTGCTGTGACCTGAAGGGCTGTTGCTGATTATTACTATTTTTAACTTTTTAGAACGATCAATTCTATTTTTTTATTTATGATGCTACTGGACACCTTAATTTCTCCTACAGGGATCAATAAAGTATCTATCTATCTATTTTAGAAGAAAACCAATGTTGTCCACATATAGGCCGCACTGGAATATAAGCCGCAGGTTTTCATGTTGCTATGTAGCAGAGAGACAACTTTTTTAACTAGACACAACCCGATTTAATGACGAGGTGTTTAACAGTTTAACCATTAGCTTCCATGACTCATTCTTGATATTCTGTTTAGACGATAAAAAAGTGCTCCTTTCTTTAACCCAAGACAAAATGAACCTTTTTGAATCAATAAACAAGTGTCCTGTAGCTTCTGAAACATAGAGACAAAATAATGAGTCCTTGAACTCTGCTCTACTTTAAAGAAGAAGAAGGTTTTTTATTCGTCCTACAATGGGGAAATTTCAGTTTGATGCATACAGTACATACATATACACATCAAGGCAAGCAGCGAACATCACTTCCGCGCTCTTTATAGGCAAAGTGGGCTAAGTGTCATGCCCAAGGACACAACAACAGCAGACATCAGTGGGAGTCGGTGGAGAATGTTTCGTGCTGGACTCGAACCCACAGCCTTCGGACTTAAAGGCCAATGCTCTACCAACTGAGCCACTGTCACCCAAAGTATCAACATGTAAGATTTTCAGGGCCCTAATCTGTAAAAAGGCATTCATAAAACATTCTCTTTTCAAATACTTCTAAAACTGATAACAGTAGTTCAGAGATATTTGAATTTCAAAGTTTGTTTTCCAGCCCCTAAATCTTGTTTTTGTTTTGTTTGTTTGTTTTTTTCACCAATCAAAAAGTCTGTGATAAGATAAGATAAGATAAGACTTTATTAATCTCACACAGGAGAAATTTACATGTCATGTGATCCGGGCGCCAGAACTCACTGTTTTGAGCTAATCTCACTGGTGCTGGCGCAGAACTAAAAAAGGTTTCGTTGTGATTCTCAAATCATTAACAACAAAACAAGGAATAAAACCAGGATTTCTATCTTTGTGAAAAAGGTGTTGGTTATAGATTTGTTGTTGACAAAACTCTTGTCTATTCAGCTGTTATGGTCCCAGCTGGATTCGTCTGCATATCTGGCAACCTGAGTCAGGGAGAGTGGGAGAGGCTGCAGTACCACTTTTGGCCAAATGTTTACATACTGCTTCTTTTATAAAAATACACATATTAGCCACATCACTATATAAGCCGCAGGGATCAAAGAACTAGAAGAAAGTAGCGGCTTTTAGTCTAGAGATTACAGAAGGAAACGGCCAGAGGGGACAAAGTGTGAGAGCAATAAGTGTTTGATTTTCTAATTAAACAAACATTCTGGTTTCACATTGTTGTGCGCTTGCCTCTGAGTGTGTTGTGTCCTCTTCCAGCTCTGACTTGCAGCGCCGCAGTTATTGATGCGTGGTGTGTTTCAGGTTTAACGTGCGGCTGACCAAGAGGCTGCGGGCGCTGAGTGCAGGCAGCAGGAGCGACCGGCCGCGACCGGTTCTGAACCGAGCCGAGTCTGTGCCGGGGAAACCACTGCTGCTGCGACTGGTACGAACACAACACACGTGGAACAACCATAGTGCAACCATATTATTATTATAGAGAGATCGCTAAGTGGCTGATAGCTAAAAACGTGAGCACATTTGTCAGAGTTGTTGCACCGGCTTCCTGTGGATTTTCGGTGCAAAGTAGAATCTCTTGGGAATGAAAGCTTTACATCTACATTTTTTCATTTAAATTAAAAATCTCACCATACATGGGTCATATGTACATGGTTCATATTGACTATCCTCCTACTTGCACTAATTGTGTTGGTGGGAATTGATCAATTTCTTAATGTCAATGTCAGTTTTATTGGTATAGCACATTTACAACAACACCAGCTGCCCAAAAGGCTTCACAGGCACACAAAAAACATAAATTAAACCACAATTAGACACACACAAATGCATGTACAATGTAAAACGGTGAGACTCAGTTGTGGTTAAAAGCCAAGGCACAAATGTGTTCTTAGACTTGATTTAAAAACCTACGATAAAAGATCTGCTCTAAAGTACAGAAGTTTGGTTCCACAGACCTGGGCCTTACTTCACTGACAGAGAAAACAGCTGTGTCTGATATACAGGCGATAAACCGTGTGGAAAAATATGACTGAGTTTACAGCCTTTATTTTAAAATGAGCAACTCAACTGGTTTTTTAGAGCCATTTTCAGACCCTTAGATCCAAACCTTTCGCACTCAGGCTGGTTAAATAAATCAATAAAAGTATTAATATTGTTGCATCCTCAAACATGACCTTTATCATTTTGTTTACCATGTTCCGTGTTCAGCCTAAAGATCTGTGGAGCGCGGGTCGCAGAGAGAAAGAGGTGAAAGAGAAGCCTCCTCCAGCAGCAGCAGCAGAGGACGAGGACGACGACATGGAGGTGACACATGTCTGATATACGTGCTACACTCGGGGTTTAGTATCATAGGTTCATAATAATGTACGATATATTACACTTACATTGTCAGTATTGTTGCACAAGAGTCCGTACACTCCGATGTTCAGTTCTGAGATCTTCTTCTTGGATTTTTATTTTGTGAACAGTCGAGAACAGTGCATGCAGAAACGCTCATTTAGACGTAGAAATATAATGCATCGTTTTTGACTTTACTTCATGTGAAATATCTAGAAAATACATAGACAGTGAAGGGTAAAAAAGGGTTCCACCTGGAGCTCCCGATGCTACCACCAGAAGGAGGTGAGAAGTGACATTCCCATAGTGGAACAATGACATCACACTATTACAGGACTGACAGGAGCTTTTAGACAGAAGGGGCGGAGCTACATGTTTGTGGCAGAAGTTCCTGAGATTAGCGTGGGCAGATATAAAAACAACTCCAGGTCTGTTACTGACAAAGAACAATGTAGTAACTGGGTTAAAAGCTCAACAAATCATAACTTATTATGACTTATTAGCATGTTATATCCGCTTTAAACCCAAACTCTGAGTAAACAAATCTATGAGGGTCCTTCCACATAACCACTACTTTTACTTACTGTATTTTGGCGGCAATGAGAAACATAATCTGCCCTTTAATATGAGAATCTGCTGCTTTCATGGCTACTGTAGAGGGGCATAGTATGTCTCCTTTAATTTCCCCAAAAGTGACAATTAAAAGTCCTTGAAGTCTGTAAATAGAGCTGCCTTCTTCTTCTGTTACACATCTGATCTTGTTGCAGGTGGAGGCCGGAGCCGAGGACGACGACGATGCACAGGAGGAGGAGGAAGAAGAGGAAGAAGAGGAGGAAGAGGAGGAGGTGGAAGAGGAGGAGCCTGCTGCCATGACGACCTCCCCTCACAGTAACAACAGCATCCCTCATAACAACAGCAGCAGCAACAACCACATCTCTCACAGCATCAGCCACAACAGCAGCCACGGTCAGACGGAGGCCGCAGTACCACAGCGCGTCCAGAGGAGGGCGTCGGCTCCGGCTGTGACCTCCACCTTCAGGCCGTCGCCGTCGCAGTGGAGCGTGGAGGAAGTGACCGCCTTCATCAACTCGCTGCCAGGTGAGGAGGACGCAATACTTTCTTTTACCTGCTGGAAACGCAAGAGTCCTGTTTATTTATGGACCGGAGCCAATGCAACTCTACGGGAAAGAAGACATTTTTTTAAAGAAATGTTGTTTTCTCAGACCATTATTTGACAGTGATTAGATTCATAATGTCTAAAAGTCTTTCCACTGGTTAACATGATGTCGATACGTGCGGACAAAGAAGATTGGTACCTTTGAGACTGTTTTTGTTTCATGTGGCTTGTCCCAGCAATAGATTATTTAGCTCTGAACTAAGAATAGAGCTCTGACTTTTGACACTTAGTTTGTAGATAATCCACCACACCATTAATATAAAGGCTCCATGCAATGTCTTTGGAATGTCTTTGGAATGTTGCGGCTTTACATGAACCTTCACAATCGATAATAATGCTTTGCTGTATGCATCCTAAATACAGCAGTTGCTTTGGTGGCTGTGCCTATTGTTTACAATTGACAACATAAGATTTTGTTTAAGGGAAAATAATGCAAATCAGGTAAAGGTGCATTATGGGAAACAATTAGACATGGGTTCTGTTGTGGCGACCAGATTTGCCTCTACTCTACTCAAATTGGGAGCTTTTCCACCGTCCCTGTTTGACCAGTACCAGCTACTTTTTAGTACCTGCTTGGCCCTGGTTATATCCAGGTCGAGCATGTTACACAATTATCATTATCTCTACATCTGCATACGATATGAGCAGAAGTGTTTTAGCCCCGCCGTATCTGTCTGATCATAATGTCTGTTTCATGTGGTCGTCTCTGTCTGTGCTGTGTTGTACATGTCCATGATACAGTTCAATTCATTTTAGACAACCGCTGAATTCGCCAACACAGATCCAAGAATCAATCAGTTCAAACACAAGAAAAATAAAACATTGGTATTGGTCCTTAAAGGAACAATATGTAAAAATCTGGCCAAAAGTGGTACTGCAGTCACAGTCAATATTTTGTAGTCCTCTCCCACTCTCCCTGACTCAGGTTGCCAGATTCACACCAAATCCAGCAGCAAACAGGGAATTATTTTATCAGTTGTTTGTCCGTCTCCATTCACATTGCCATGACAGCCGTGCTAATGCTGAATGAATGTTTTGATTAATGTTTTTTTATTATTATTATTTGGACATTTGAGATAAAAAACAAAATAAAAGCAATGTAATTATACATAGTTTATGCAAAATAAATAAGCAATTGATGTCCAAAATAGGAGTGGGAAGAATGGATGTTGGAACGTATTTCTTCAGCGTATCAACATCAGGGTTTGCTCAAGAGGATATCACCTTTCAATTTTATTTATTCCCTATTTTTTAGACAAACATGTAAAAGTCCCACATCAAAAAGAGACTAACATTATTTTAATTGGGGTACATGTGGTCTTAAATGATTATTTTTACAATTAAGCTATAATCTGCAAAAAAACGTCTTGACCTTCATCTTTCACCGTTTTTAGAGCAATCTGACATAGAATGTGATAACATGCAATAAATACAAAAAGACATAGCCCGGGATCGAACCCGGGTTCCTGCATCGTAAGCGCACAGTTTAGTCCACTAGACCGCCGATTCACACAACAAATACTGAAGAACGGAGTCAAACTAGAAAATTCTGCATCACACGTGAACTTTTATCAGCTGTCTCAATTGTTCAAAGGCATCCCGATATAAATCCTCGTTTTAGTCTTTGTTTTGTCATTAATGATTTGAGAGTCATAACAAGACCTTTTTTAGTTCTACGCCACATGTTATTTTTCCACTGAGATTAATGAGCCGCGCGGAGTTCTGGCAACCCGATCACGGACTTACATGACACTTCCTTATTGGCGAAACGGCGGAGGGTAGGACATCAAAATCAAAACAATGACAACTTTTACGGGTCGTAAAACTAATTTTGATAATCAAATATCTCGGCTGAACTACTGTTATCAGTTAAAGATGAATTCGAAAAGAGTATGATATAGTAACGCCTTTTGAAATATTCGGGTCATTTAATGAGGACTTGACATGCAAATATTACATATTGCTCCTTTAAGTGTTTCAGCAGCAGGAGCTTTTCAGTCTTAATCCACTCTCATGTTTGTGTGAGCTTCTGTCGGGTTTGAAACAGTCTTGGTAAAAGTTTTTTTTCCCTCATACAGACCTGTGCTCTTATTGTTGTGACAGTTTTACTTTTCCTCGTGCAGCTGCTGTTTCTGGAGCAGGAAGAACAAGGAGTTTGTTTGTTGTTTTGCATCAACACAGCTGTTATCACAACTCATGCTCGATGACGCTCGTGGCCACTAGAGGCCGCTACAACTCCTCTTTAGAAAACACATGTTGAATGTTGAGTGAATAAATGCATGACTCTGGACTGTACTGTCTTTAACAGTGGAGTCAACTCAGTCCTCAAAGGGGCTGCAGGTTTTCATTCCAAGCAGGAGCGCACCAGGCCGGGCCCATCCATCCATCCATCCATTTTCTACCCTTTAATCCATTTCTGGGTCAGGGGGGTGACAGTCAGAGATGCCACCCAAGTCTCATAGCACCAGCCCCTCACTGACCCTCTGCAGGTGGTGAGTCCACAGGAGGACAGCTACTCTCTGAGTGTGAGCATAGCCTTGATCTTTCAGTGGGGGCTTTTGGGCAAAGTGGGGTTAAGTGTCTTGCCCAAGGACACAACGACAGCAGTCATCAGTGGGAGCCGGTGGAGAAGGTGTAGAGGTGGGAATTGAACCCACGACCTTCAGGTCGGGCCCATTTCATCAAATGAGCCCAGTCTGAACCAAGTAGAGTAGAGTAGAGTAGAGTAGAGTAGAGTAGAGTAGAGTAGAGTAGAGTAGAGTAGAGTAGAGTAGAGTAGATAGGGCCGAGTAGAGTAGAGTAGAGTAGAAAGTGCTGAGTAGAGTAGAGTAGAGTAGAGTAGAGTAGAGAAAAGTAGGGCAAGGCAAGTTTATTTGTATAGCACAATTCATACAAATGGAAAGTGCTGAACAAACAAGATGGAAACAGTCACAAAAGGCAATAAAATCATAAATCATCAACGTGCATTAAAAACAGAAACACAGCTGAACAGGATTAGATCATTGTCAGAGAGGAAGCCTGTCTCACATTTTCAGGAAGGGCATTTGGGAACATCGGCTTCAGCCACAGAAACCTTATCTGTAATGATAAATTTACTGTTGTTGGATGAATTTGAGTAAATACATTTCATCATTTGAGTTTAGTGACACTCTGGCCTCGTCTTCAGCTCCTGTCGTTTTGATTTAAGTCTTGCAGTAATTCTTCTCTGCTCTGTCGCCTCAACAATTAAACGTTTCAGGCAGGTCTGAGGCGCGGTCCCAGTGTGGGCGAGATGATCCGAAACATCTGGAATTAAACACACTCCGCACACACACACACACACACAAACAGACACACACACATATACATACACGCACACACAAACAGACACACACACACACACACACAAACAGACACATACACATATACATACACGCACACACAAACAGACACACACACACACACACAAACAGACACACGTACAGATACACACGCACACACACACACAAACAGACACACATACACATACACATACATACACACACACACACACACACACAAACAGACACACATACACATACACATACATACACACACACACAGACACACATACACATACACATACATACACACACACAGACACACATACACACACACACACACACACACAAACAGACACACATACACATACATACACATACACACACACACACATATACAGAGCCCATCCCCACAGAGACCTCAAAGACACACTCTTTTATGAAGCTATCTTTGACACACAACTTTACAAACTTTACACTCAAATTATTCAAGGAAGTAGTACTACCTTTATTAAAGATGAGGAACCACAAATAATAACTGTTATTACACAGCTCCTCACAGCAGCAGGAGAACGCTCCATTGATTTGAATGTCATTTCAAAATGTTCTACCAGCCATTATTTCTTGATAACTGACCTCTCAAAACAATAATGACCGCTGCCCTTTGTCAACGCACTCTCTGCTTGTAATTCAGATGTGTAGATTACTCCGCAAGTAGTTCCGGCCACTCAAAGTTAGGTCTGTTACACGTCAGGATGTTGACAACCTTTTTCCTCTGTGTCTTTGTTTACATTTTGATCATGGCAACATCATTGCTAAGAAACTTTTGCTGTTCGCAAGCAAGTTCATGAGAGTGTAGAGGACAAAAAACATTTGTTATCTACAAATGTACAAGTGTGTGAGTATTTTGAACATGGTATAAGCGGGTAGAACAACTGAGAGCGGTGAGGTCGTGTGGATTAGACTCTCTCTGCAGAGTTTTAGATTCTGCACTGTGAGTTTAAACCATACTACAGCACTGCTCCTTCATCCCTGTAATCCTCCCTGACCTCCCCGACCATGCTATATTCATAAATAATACTGTCTTTTCTCCTTCAGGCTGTGGAGATGTGGCAGAGGCGTTCCGTGTGCAGGAGATCGACGGCCAGGCGCTGCTGCTGCTCACAGAGGACCACCTCATGACCAGTATGAACATCAAACTGGGACCAGCCCTGAAAATCTGTGCCCACATCAACTCCCTCAAGAACCAGTGACGGACCAACACCCGCTGAGACGCACGGGCAACGAACGAAGCAATATACTGTTCATGTGAGGCCGCAGCTTGTGTTTTTATAGACTGTACGTGAACGAACTGAAGGGGAAAGGCAATAACATGTGCATAAGGAGAATAAGCTGACACCGAGGACGTGCCGTGGGCGGGATCTGTCCAAAGTCATGGGAGTGTTTGTATAATTCTACTTTTGTTCAAACTTCCAGATAGCTGTAAATATGTAAATGTTTTTTTATTCTTCCATGTTGCTCCGACTGGTTGAAAGACCAGTATAAAGCCTTTTATTTATTTAATTATTGAGTGATTTGATCTCACATGCTTGAATTGTTTATATATATGTATAGGTATATATATATATGAACCTCAAATTGCAACTGTGCTACAAATATTGGTGAAATTAGAGCGTCCGCGTTTCCCGTCGTTTTTCACTTAAAAACTACAGTAGATTCTTGTCCCAATGGACGGAGAATGAAGGAATCAGTCTAAAGAGGCATTATGTCGGTCTTTTAAAGTTATTACAATCACACCAGACTCTTCCTGCCTGTGACACATGTAGCTTCTAAGCACTGAATACTGATGCCCTCCACCTGCTGGAGCTAAGCTAACAGTAAAAACATTGTGCTTTTTAACTGGTTGTAATGCGTTTCACAAATGTTTCTATTTAATTTAATCTTTCAACAACAACCAAAAGATAGCCAAATACCTGCCTCATTTTGCTTAACAAACTGGCAACCCCAATGAAAGCCACTTCACAAAATTTCTACAAACTCATGTTGTTTTCAGAATTTAATATCAGTTTCAACAAATTCTCTGAAAACCGTATTAGAGGAACTGAGGTGTGCGACTTTGACTAAACACGTGTCTAAAAACGGTTATGGACGACTGCTATAGAAGCTCAGTCTCATCTCTGACTGCTCGTTGCCATGACGACGCCATCTAATGAGCAACAACTACAGATGCTTTTACTTTTATCCTGACACCGGATCAGCTCTCCTCCTCTCTCCGCAGAGATGACTTGTAAACTTAGCCGTGTGCTGTCACTTGCCTGTCGTCGCTGTTGGTGGAAAGTTTAATGAAGGACTGTGGAACATTCCAGAGAAAACACCAACGTTTAGACGGTTTTTACGTCCAGGTGTCTTTGGCCTCTGAAAAAACTGATCTAAAAATGTGTGAGATAAAGACAGAGAAGTGGCGGCAGCGTTTTTCTGCCTTTTACACGTTGTTTACGCCTCGGTTTTGGGAATGTCAAGTTTTCTTTACAGCTTTGTGCCTCCAATTCGATTTGTTTAACGTTCACTGAAACAGCAGATCTCCATGGTTGTAAATTCTAAATCAGAAAATGCCAAAGTTCATTTTTTTCAAGATCATGTTTAAGGGACAAAATATATTCACAAATAATACTTTATTCTTATCAAACTCACCCTGGAAACGCATAGAAATCCCTCGTGTTTGCAGCAGAACACACTGCACCATGTTTATTATGCTGACTGGACTAACGCTGGGATTATGGATTATTTATCAAATCAAAGACAATTTAAACTTTGCTAACTATTTTTACATTAAAACTCAAACTATTGTAACATTCTTTCTCCCATGACTTTTGATATTTCTGTTTTAAAGCTGTGGTTTGTAACTTTTCCGTGTCCATCTCCTGCTTTTATCCGTTCAAGTCTAGTTTTGCTTATTTCCTCTTTTTTTTTTTTTTTTTATCAGTATGGTTTTGTGACAATTCATTCAAAGCTACGTTTCCATGGCGATAAGCAGGACACGGACCAGTCGCTTGATGGGAAAGTTGCATATTACAGCTTTATAGAATGCCTTTGAAATCTTATTGAAATGTATTGAGCCTTTGAAACAGAGCAGAGTTCTCGATAAATGTATTTTGAAGCTGCTGCAGACGACTGTGCACTGCAAACACATATTTACAATACATTAGATTACTTTCTACATTCACCTTGTTACACGTCTCTTCTGTTGAGGGGAATTAATTGCCAGAGGTTTTGTATATTATTCCAAGTGAGATTTTTATAACTTACTGGCAGTTGCTGTTTCAAGAAAGAGAATTAAGATATTTTATAATGTGTCCGTTGTATTTGTTCCTGACAATAAGTCCATATGTTATCATTGTCATCAGCAAAAGCAAGGATTTACAACCAAATATTGTCAAAATGTCAAACCATTTTAGGTATTAAAGTGCGTATGACAGTTTAAAAATTATGTTTTGACTTTGACAAACACCAATTTTAAAGGAGCAGTATGTAAAAATGTGGCCAAAAGTGGTACTGCAGCCTCTCCCACTCTCCCTGACTCAGGTTGCCAGATATGCAGACGAATCCAGCTGGGACCATAACAGCTGAATAGACAAGAGTTTTGTCAACAACAAATCTATAACCAACACCTTTTTCACAAAGATAGAAATCCTGCTTTTATTCCTTGTTTTGTCGTTAATGATTTGAGAATCATAACGAGACCTTTTTTAGTTCTGAGCCACATGGTACTTTACCAGTGAGATTAGCTCGAAATGGTGAGTTCTGGATCATGGACTTTCTGATTGAAACGGTGGAGGGCGGGACATCAAAATGAAAACTATAACAAGATTTAGAGGCTGGAAAAGTAATTTAGAAATACAAATATCTCTGAACTACTGTTATCAGTTAAAGAAGTATTGGAAAAGAGCATGTTTTATGAATGTCTTTGGACAGATTAGGGCCCTTTAATGATGACTTGACATGTAAATCCTACATATCGCTTCTTTAAATGTAAATAAGAGTTTTACACTGATGAATGGAAAGAGACAGTGGAAACAATGTGCAGGATATAAACAACATGATATCGCAGGCGGGAGGTTCGAAGCTACATATATTTAAAACAAACACATGATTTTGATGCTTTAGATGAGTTACTAAATCAAAATACATTATCGATCAATTTAGTTCTGTTGTTGGCTCCAAATCCCTCCACCTGTTCTACTTTGCATTCATCCTTCGCCACTTGAGCCATGGAGCACGTCAAAAGATATTTTCTCTGCACATCCGCAGAGTTACAGTTTATTACACGGTTGCTATATGGTTGCTAGGTATCATCCTTCTGCTAATGTTGACAACCAGGAAGTACATTTTTAAACATGAAAATATAGCCAAAGTGGGATTAAATTAGTCAAATCTTCATCAGAATCTTAAACATATACATTTTCCGACCTGTCATACGCACTTTGAAGCTTTGCAGTGTGCAGTGTCTGTTACATACTCGCCGATGGAAAGTGTAAATCTGAAGCTATTTCTTGAAGGATTTTTTGAACATTTAACATTATGCATTTATTTAGTTTTGTTTTCTTAGGGCGCGGTGACGTCCGGTAGCTAACATAACCGCTGTGTGTCCTGACTAAACTCTTTAGACTTTGTAAAGTGGTTCATGGGTGTTTTCTATCACTATAATCCCACCAGGGTCCAGACTGCTGTCTTAGTCCTCACATTTTTATGGTATCCTGCTTGAAATTATTTAATAAATGAAGGATTAATAATCGTAACTTTCATGTGTGTTTAATTCTTTTGGTCATCTGTCTGCCGCGAATTGCTAAAGACATGCCCCGACTGTGAGCTAAAGCTGGGGTACCTGACTTTCATACCATCTTGGCTTGTTCCTCGCTCTCAAAACACTTTGGTTCTGTGTCTAGTTTTCACATGCACGTGTTTCTGGATACTGTGATTGTTAATTATTGTGATTGTTGCGGCCTGAAATGCTTGATTTTGTGGGACATTTTTCTATAATTTGCAATGGCAACCTAACCCCAAGCTCAGTGAGGTCTCTGGCTCAGACTAGCTGCTAACACTGAAGCGTGAAGGGTATTTCCAACACAGACACAGACAAATATTACAAAGCTTAATTCATTCAACAGGAAACTCAAATTGCTTCTTTATTATGCTAAAATAGAGATTGTATATTATTTTATTTTAGTTTAGAGTTATTGTTCATTTATCTTCAATTCAATTCAGTTTTATTTATAGAGCCCTTTACAACACTCAAGGCGACCAAGGTGCTTCACAATAAAATGACATAAAATCCATTTAAAACATTTATACATTAAAAACTGAATAAATAAAAGGCCAAAATCAGTGAGGACACGCATATCAGGGTGCAGCTTTTCCAGAGTCTGGGTCCAGCGACTGAGAAGGACCGGTCTCCCCAGTGTTTGGACTTGGTCCTAGGTACTTCCAGGAGGAGTTGAGATGATGACTTCAATGATCTGCCCGAGTCACAAACAGACAAAAGTTTCGACAAGTACGGCGGGGCAAGACCATTGAGGGCTTTAAACACAAAGAGTAAGAGTAAGAGTAAGGACTGGGGTGATGTGTTCACTTCTGGGTGTGTTTGTTAAAAAGCTGCTGCAGCATTTTGCACCAACTGAAGACAATTAAAACAAGACTGGGGGACTCCAAAATAAAGGGCATTACAGTAATTCTTGAGCTGATAAAAGCGTGGATTGTTTTTTCCAGGTCGGAGCAGTTTCAGATTCAGATTCAAATTCAGTTTTATTTGCCATTTGCAATAAAAAAAAAACACATTGGAATACATACGTTTAAAAAAGGCTTCACCTTTGTTAAAATACGGAGCTGATAAAATCTTGTGCTGTGGGATCCTCATTCCAGCTGTTCTGTAACCGATGACGCAACACTGAAATTTCCCCACTGTGGGACGAATATTTATTTTATTTATTTATGTATTTGAAGTGGACACAACAGTTACATTGGACAGACCAGAAGCACTGCCTTTAGTGCTATAGCAAGACCATGCTTATTTTCAACACTTGTCCATAGAATAAAGGGTCTTTTATAACTTATTCATTTTCAGAGAATATAGATCTTTCCAGGAACAGATACCAGTATTTTGTGTATGGTTTGAAACTGTTGAGACCACTAAGTGCAGAAGTCGTTACAAATATTGAGTGTTAATATGTATTTGGAATGTATCTGAAGAATCCTCCTGGATGTGGTTAAATATTTACATGGGTGAAGGTGAAACTTAGAATATTGTTCAAAAGTTCATTTATTTCTGCAAATCAACTTCAATGTGAAACCAATATATGATTCAGTATTATTCAAAACGTCCGAAAAGTCTGTAAATTCCATCTGTTTGTAGACTTTTAAATCATGTCACTTATTCCACCTGGAGGCCTTTCTGTGTAGAGTTTGCATGTTCTCCCTGTGTCTGCGTAGGTATCCTCTGGCCGCTCCGGTTTCCCACGATTTTGATGTCAAGTCATTAATTGGTCCCTAAATGTCAAAAAGTATTAATAAACCATGCTCTTTTTGAATACTTATTTAACAGATAACAGTAGTTCAGAGATATTCGAATTTCAATATTAGTTTGAAATTCACCCGTAAATGTTCTCATTTTGATGTCCCGCCCTCACAGAGTCCATGATCTGGGTTGCCAGAACTCACACATGGTGGATCTAATAGAACTCATCGCATCGAGCTAATCTCACTAGTAAAGGAACATGTGGCCGTAGTACAAAAAAAGGTCTCATTATGGTTCTAAAATCATTCATGAAAAAACAGAGAATTTCTATGTGATTCCTTTGGAAAAAAGGTGTTGGTTATAGATTTGTTGTTGACAAAACTCTTGTCTATTCAGCGATTATGGTTCCAGCTGGGTTTGTCTGCATAACTGGCAACCTGAGTCAGAGAGAGTGGGAGAGGACAACAGAATATTGACCCTGATATTGAGTGAGTGAGTGAGTGAGTTTTTTTTTTTTTTATTTATATACCGCCTTTTCACTGCAGATCTGAGTCTCAAAGCGGTTTACAATTGTTAATTATGGGCATTTGTCTCTCACTCCACACAGAGATGGGAGCGGGGTCGCCGAACAGGAGGCGCATGCCAGAACTATTGGACATATTTTTAGTGGTAGGGGAAACCGGAGTACCCAGAGGAAACCTACGCAGACACGGGGAGAACATGCAAACTCCACTCAGAAAGGCCCTGGTCCGACCGGGATTCGAACCCAGGACCTTCTTGCTGAGAGGCGAGAGTGCTATCCACTCAGCCACCGTGCCGCCCTAGTGAGTGAGTGAGTGAGTGAGTGAGTGAGTGAGTGAGTGAGTGAGTGAGTGAGTGAGTGAGTGAGTGAGTGAGTGAGTGAGTGAGTGAGTGAGTGAGTGAGTGAGTGAGTGAGTGAGTGAGTGAGTGAGTGAGTGAGTGAGTGAGTGAGTGAGTGAGTGAGTGAGTGAGTGAGTGAGTGAGTGAGTGAGTGAGTGAGTGAGTGAGTGAGTGAGTGAGTGAGTGAGTGAGTGAGTGAGTGAGTGAGTGAGTGAGTGAGTGAGTGAGTGAGTGAGTGAGTGGATGTTGTTAATTGGAGGATTTGTTCTGAGTGTGGAGAGAATTGAACAATATCGATCTCTGAACATTGTAAAACGCTTTGGGTCTTTAAAAAAAGTATAAATAAAGATTGCTCACTTCCTTTGTCTACCAGCAGAGGGCAGCAGAGACACAGGTGTGACTGACCACTGCAGAAATATGTCTTTTGTTAAATGCATTGATATTCTCTGCACTCAAATCCTCCTCACTTGTGTTTTCTCACTTGGGCCTGTTTTGAGTTTCACAGTGATTGGACACAGGTTTAGACGAGACTCCACCACTCCCCGAGAAAAAAACACAATCATTTCACCTCGAACTCAGACGAGCCAAAGTGCAACTATTTTTATCCAGCTACTTTTTTATATTTTCTGCAGAACATTTCTTAAATCATTCAGAAAAATACATTTTATCCTACAAAGGATTTTCAATATATTTTTTGTTTTTTAAAGTTGGATTTATTGTGAATATTTCAAACAAGCATCGGATTTGAAACAACTTGAGGTAAGAAATAAATAAGTAACAACTTATTATGAACATTGAAAAAGGGCTTTGCCAGGATTTCAACAGACGGCTCGCAGATGGGACACAGTTTTTTTTTTCACATAAATCAAAACATAATTTCATTAAAATGTTGCATTATTTGATAGTAGTTCAAATGTTTTTTTATTTAAGTAACCCTGACCCTCATGTATTGAGTTACAGCTAAAAAATATTATAGTTATCTTGTCAGGTTTTTTTCTACATAACCATTTACTTTTTTAATCAATAATTCATTTAAATGTAGTTTATTTTTATTTTTATAAAACTACATCATTCAATTTAATATTCAATCGTGTTGAAGCTGAAATGCCTTCAACTTTTTCTCCATAAATAATTTATTCAGTTTTGTAAAAGTAAACTTATGGTTAAATACTGTCTTTGTAGAAAACAGTCCATCTCTTACATACTTGCATGAGTCACTATTCGACTTTTCTGTCTGACAAAGCAGATCTAACAATGTGAGGCCTGTGAAAACATGTGAAAACATTATGGGAATTGAAAGTTAGGTACCTCAACTTTAAATGTTTTATTACATAAACACTTTTCTACAAAAATGCTTTGTATTTATTATTAATTTGAGCAAAACAGTTTAAAGGAAACCAAAGTTTCTTGTTTCCATGTTTCTGCAGCGTACTCCTCTTTCACCTCCAGATGGCGTTCATGCTGTGCAGACAGCTCACTGGGACGTTCGCCAGCAGCACCGGTTGGGTGGGCCTGATCGTTGCCACGGCGACCAACGACTGGGTGCGCACGTGCGACTACAGCGTGGCCACTTGTGTGCGCATGGACGAGCTCGGCTCCAGCGGGCTCTGGGCCGAGTGCGTCATCTCCCCCGCAAAATACCACTGCTCCGCCCTCAACCAGATCCTGTCCCTGCCAGGTAAGGCCACGCCCACAGAACACCTGGAAACAAGCCACACCCACAGAACACCTGGATACAAGCCACACCCATAATACACCTGGTTACAAGCCACGCCTACAGAACACCTGGATACAAGCCACACCCACAGAACACCTGGATACAAGCCACACCCATAATACACCTGGTTACAAGCCACGCCTACAGAACACCTGGATACAAGCCATGCCCACAGAACACCTGGATACAAGCCACGCCTACAGAACACCTGGATACAAGCCACACCCACAGAACACCTGGATACAAGCCACGCCTACAGAACACCTGGATACAAGCCATGCCCACAGAACACCTGGATACAAGCCACACCCACAGAACACCTGGATACAAGCCACGCCTACAGAACACCTGGATACAAGCCACACCCACTGAACACCTAGATACAAGCCACGCCCACATAACACCTGGACTTATGCTGCTTTCATGCAATCTCGGAAACTTGACTTCCCAAGGAGATGCTGACACACACACACACACACACACACACACACACACACACATTAATTGTACAAAAGGAGCACATACATGCACAATCTTAATCATTTGCACACATTTTTGGGGCCATAAACATAAACTTCCTGTTGTCGCTTTTTTGGCGTGTGTTTATTTTGCACCAACACCAGTGTGATATAGAACAAGTTTCAGAGATTGCATGAATCAGCAACTAGACACACCCACACAAAATGCACATCAACAAAACTCAATGCATAAGCCACACCCACAAAACACCTGGACACAGGACACAGCCCATTTTCATGCACTCCCTTTATCAAGAATGCTTTAGCTGTGTATTGTTTCCATGGCAAAGCTTCATATAGTAAATTGCACACAGATTAAAGTCACTGGTTAATTGCAACATAATCAGAATCAATCAAAATTTACAGTGCCTTGCGAACCTTTCAACATTTCGCCATATTTCAGGCTTCAAACATAAAGATATAAAAATTTAATTTTTTGTCATGAATCAACAACAAGTGGGACACAATTGTTAAGTGGAACTAAATTTATTGGATAATTTAAACTTTTTTAACAAATAAAAAACGGAAAAGTGGGGCGTGCAATATTATCCGCCCCTTTACTTTCAGTGCAGCAAACTCAGTCCAGAAGTTCAGTGAGGATCTTTGAATGATCCAATGTTGTCCTAAATGACTGATGATGATAAATAGAATGCACCTGTGTGTAATCAAGTCTCCGTATAAATGCACCTGCTCTTTGATAGTCTCAGGGTTCTGTTTAAAGCGCAGAGAGAACCATGAAGACAAAGGAACACACCAGGCAGGTCCGAGATACTGTTGTGGAGAAGTTTAAAGCCGGATTTGGATACAAAAAGATTTCCCAAGCTTTAAACATCTCAAGAAGCACTGTGCAAGCAGTTATATTGAAATGGAAGGAGTATCAGACCACTGAAAATCTACCAAGACCCGGCCGTCCCTCCAAACTTTCATCTCAAACAAGGAGAAGACTGATCAGAGATGCAGCCAAGAGGCCCATGATCACTCTGGATGAACTGCAGATAACTACAGCTGAGGTGGGAGAGTCTGTCCATAGGACAACAATCGGTCGTGCACTGCACAAATCTGGCCTTTATGGAAGAGTGGCAAGAAGAAAGCCATTTCTCAAAGATATCCATAAAAAGTCTTGTTTAAAGTTTGCCACAAGCCACCTGGGAGACACACCAAACATGTGGAAGAAGATGCTCTGGTCAGATGAAACCAAAATCCAACTTTTTGGCCACAATGCAAAACGATATGTTTGGCGTAAAAGCAACACAGCTCATCACCCTGAACACACCATCCCCACTGTCAAACATGGTGGTGGCAGCATCATGGTTTGGGCCTGCTTTTCTTCAGCAGGGACAGGGAAGATGGCTAAAATTGATGGGAAGATGGATGGAGCCAAATACAGGACCATTCTGGAAGAAAACCTGTTGGAGTCTCCAAAAGACCTGAGACTGGGACGGAGATTTATCTTCCAACAGGACAATGATCCAAAACATAAAGCCAAATCTACAATGGAATGGTTCACAAATAGACGTATCCAGGTGTTAGAATGGCCAAGTCAAAGTCCAGACCTGAATCCAATCGAGAATCTGTGGAAAGAGCTGAAGACTGCTGTTCACAAACGCTCTCCATCCAACCTCACTGAGCTCGAGCTGTTTTGCGAGGAAGAATGGGAAAGAATTCCAGTCTCTCGATGTGCAAAACTGATAGAGACATACCCCAAGCGACTTGCAGCTGTAATTGCAGCAAAAGGTGGCGCTACAAAGTATTAGCGCAAGGGGGCCGAATAATATTGCACGCCCCACTTTTCAGTTTTTTATTTGTTAAAAAAGTTTAAATTATCCAATACATTTCGTTCCACTTCACGATTGTGTCCCACTTGTTGTTGATTCTTGACAAAAAATTTAATTTTTATATCTTTATGTTTGAAGCCTGAAATGTGGCGAAAAGTTGAAAGGTTCAAGGGGGCCGAATACTTTCGCAAGGCATTGTAAATCTAGGTTTTCTACAGAGGCACATACTTTTGAACGTTCTTCCTCCTCCAGCGAGTCCTGGAGCCTTCTGCTGTAGTGGAATGTGCACCAGATGCCCGAGTTGTGAAATGTACAGATACGGAGGGAAAGTTATTCCTTTGATTTCACTCTGAATCCCAGGATATAATCAGTTCCAGAGCCACCCCTCCTCCCCCATCTCTGCGCTCCATGTGCCTCTTCAGTGATGGTGAAGTCCCAAAAGCCATAAATAATAACTCAAAATAGAAAGAGTCAAGAGAAGACAGTGTCATCATCTTGGTATGTGAGGATAATAAACAGACAAAGCAATGTATTATTTATTGATTCTTAGTTTAAAAAATATATCTGTTGATAATTGAAAAAGCAGTGCATTGAGGCATATTGTAACATCTATAGATCTTTATGGACCACTTTGGCACAATGTTACAAACCCAATATCACAATATATACAATTAGTGCTTTTGCTTCACAGAAAGCCCTGGGTTTGATTTCACCTTCAGGCCTTTGTGCGTGGAGTTTGCTTGTCCCTTCCCTCTGAAGCCTGAAAAATAGATTCTATAAATGAATTACAACGCAATTTTATTTTCAGCGAGACAGGAACGGTACTAATGTGCTCGCACTTATATGTGTTTGAAGAGTTCTTTTGCAAAAACAGATATTTCTGCATATAAAATGTGTCAAAAAGTTCTTGCTAAAATCTCTTGTTATGCTCTTAGTAGTGAGATAGAAATGCTGGAAGACTGGAGATTTCACACTGGAGACTGACCGAAAATTGTGATAAATTAGACACTGACTGTTTTATCTTTCAGGGGTTTTGTGGGCGTGGCTTGTGCTCATGTTTTATGGGTGTGTCTAGTTCCTGCATTTACACATCAATTAAACAGACATGGGCCAATCATATATGTGTTATAATAGAATGCATATGGCCAAAATGGGTGAGTGACAGTGGCTCAGTTGGTAGAGCGTTGGCTTTAGAGTCTGAAGGGTTGTGGGTTCAAGTCCATCAAGAGGGGCTCTATAAATTGGGCTCCCGATCCAGAACGAGCTGCCATAATTCAATTACTCAGGCTTTTAAGTCAATCACAGAGAGGCTCTTCATAAGCTCAGAGCAGAGGTGAGAGTGGTCTCCTGGGCATCGTGTGATGTGGGAGTGCATTCCTGACTGACGCTTTTACACTGACCAGATGCCTGCGAGAATATACCCTCCTCTACCTCTGTCTCCTCTGTCTCTGTCTCCTCTGTCCCCTCTGTCTCTGTCTCCTCTGCCCCCTCTGTCTTCTCTGTCTCTGTTTCCTCTGTCTCCTCTGTCTCTGTTTCCTCTGTCTCCTCTGTCTCCTCTGTCTCCTCTGTCCCCTTTGTCTCCTCTGTCTCTGTTTCCTCTGTCTCCTCTGTCTCTGTCTCTGTTTCCTCTGTCTCCTCTTCTTCTCTGTCTCTGTCTCCTCTGTCCCCTTTGTCTCCTCTGTCTTCTCTGTCTCTGTCTCCTCTGTCCCCTTTGTCTCCTCTGTCTTCTCTGTCTCTGTTTCCTCTGTCTCCTCTGCCCCCTCTGTCTCCTCTGTCCCCTCTGTCTCCTCTGTCCCCTCTGTCTCCTCTGTCTCCTCTGCCCCCTCTGTCTCCTCTGCCCCCTCTGTCTCCTCTGCCCCCTCTGTCTCCTCTGTCCCCTCTGTCTCCTCTGTCTCCTCTGTCCCCTCTGTCCCCTCTGTCTCCTCTGTCCCCTCTGTCTCCTCTGTCTCCTCTGTCCCCTCTGTCTCCTCTGTCCCCTCTGTCTCCTCTGTCTCCTCTGTCTCTGTCTCCTCTGTCTCTGTTTCCTCTGTCTCCTCTGTCTCTGTTTCCTCTGTCTCCTCTGTCTCCTCTGTCTCCTCTGTCCCCTTTGTCTCCTCTGTCTCTGTTTCCTCTGTCTCCTCTGTCTCTGTCTCTGTTTCCTCTGTCTCCTCTTCTTCTCTGTCTCTGTCTCCTCTGTCCCCTTTGTCTCCTCTGTCTTCTCTGTCTCTGTCTCCTCTGTCCCCTTTGTCTCCTCTGTCTTCTCTGTCTCTGTTTCCTCTGTCTCCTCTGCCCCCTCTGTCTCCTCTGTCCCCTCTGTCTCCTCTGTCCCCTCTGTCTCCTCTGTCTCCTCTGCCCCCTCTGTCTCCTCTGCCCCCTCTGTCTCCTCTGCCCCCTCTGTCTCCTCTGTCCCCTCTGTCTCCTCTGTCTCCTCTGTCCCCTCTGTCCCCTCTGTCTCCTCTGTCCCCTCTGTCTCCTCTGTCTCCTCTGTCCCCTCTGTCTCCTCTGTCCCCTCTGTCTCCTCTGTCTCCTCTGTCTCTGTCTCCTCTGTCTCTGTTTCCTCTGTCTCCTCTGTCTCCTCTGTCTCCTCTGTCTCCTCTGCCCCCTCTGTCTCCTCTGCCCCCTCTGTCTGCTCTGCCCCCTCTGTCTCCTCTGTCCCCTCTGTCTCCTCTGTCTCCTCTGTCCCCTCTGTCCCCTCTGTCTCCTCTGTCCCCTCTGTCTCCTCTGTCTCCTCTGTCCCCTCTGTCTCCTCTGTCCCCTCTGTCTCCTCTGTCTCCTCTGTCTCTGTCTCCTCTGTCTCTGTTTCCTCTGTCTCCTCTGTCTCCTCTGTCTCCTCTGTCCCCTCTGTCTCTGTCTCCTCTGTCTCTGTTTCTTCTGTCTCCTCTGTCTCTGTCTCCTCTGTCCCCTTTGTCTCCTCTTTCTTCTCTGTCTCTGTCTCCTCTGTCCCCTTTGTCTCCTCTGTCTTCTCTGTCTCTGTCTCCTCTGTCCCCTCTGTCTTCTCTGTCTCTGTCTCTGTTTCCTCTGTCTCCTCTGTCTCCTCTGCCCCCTCTGTCTCCTCTGTCCCCTCTGTCTCCTCTGTCCCCTCTGTCCCCTCTGTCTCCTCTGTCTCCTCTGTCTCCTCTGTCCCCTCTGTCCCCTCTGTCTCCTCTGTCCCCTCTGTCCCCTCTGTCTCCTCTGTCCCCTTTGTCTCCTCTGTCTTCTCTGTCTCTGTTTCCTCTGTCTCCTCTGCCCCCTCTGTCTCCTCTGTCCCCTCTGTCTCCTCTGTCCCCTCTGTCCCCTCTGTCTCCTCTGTCCCCTCTGTCCCCTCTGTCTCCTCTGTCCCCTTTGTCTCCTCTGTCTTCTCTGTCTCTGTTTCCTCTGTCTCCTCTGCCCCCTCTGTCTCCTCTGTCCCCTCTGTCTCCTCTGTCTCCTCTGTCCCCTCTGTCTCCTCTGCCCCCTCTGTCTCCTCTGCCCCCTCTGTCTCCTCTGCCCCCTCTGTCTCCTCTGTCCCCTCTGTCTCCTCTGTCTCCTCAGTCCCCTCTGTCTCCTCTGTCCCCTCTGTCTCCTCTGTCTCCTCTGCCCCCTCTGTCTCCTCTGTCCCCTCTGTCTCCTCTGTCTCCTCTGTCCCCTCTGTCTCCTCTGTCCCCTCTGTCTCCTCTGTCTCCTCTGTCCCCTCTGCCTCCTCTGTCTCCTCTGTCCCCTCTGTCTCCTCTGTCTCCTCTGTCTCTGTCTCCTCTGTCTCTGTTTCCTTTGTCTCCTCTGTCTCCTCTGTCTCCTCTGTCCCCTCTGTCTCTGTCTCCTCTGTCTCTGTTTCTTCTGTCTCCTCTGTCTCTGTCTCCTCTGTCCCCTTTGTCTCCTCTGTCATCTCTGTCTCTGTCTCCTCTGTCCACTTTGTCTCCTCTGTCTTCTTTGTCTCTGTCTCCTCTGTCCCCTCTGTCTTCTCTGTCTCTGTCTCTGTTTCCTCTGTCTCCTCTGTCTCTGTCTCCTCTGCCCCCTCTGTCTCCTCTGTCCCCTCTGTCTCCTCTGTCTCCTCTGTCCCCTCTGTCCCCTCTGTCTCCTCTGTCCCCTCTGTCTCCTCTGTCTCCTCTGTCCCCTCTGTCTCCTCTGTCTCCTCTGTCTCCTCTGTCTCTGTCTCCTCTGCCCCCTCTGTCTCCTCTGTCCCCTCTGTCCCCTCTGTCTCCTCTGTCTCCTCTGTCCCCTCTGTCCCCTCTGTCTCCTCTGTCTCCTCTGTCTCCTCTGTCTCCTCTGTCTCCTCTGTCTCTGTCTCTGTCTCCTCTGTCTCTGTCTCCTCTGTCCCCTTTGTCTCCTCTGCCTTCTCTGTCTCTGTCTCCTCTGTCTTCTCTGTCTCTGTCTCCTCTGTCTCTGTCTCCTCTGTCCCCTTTGTCTCCTCTGTCTTCTCTGTCTCTGTCTCCTCTGTCTCCTCTGTCTCTGTCTCTGCAGCTATTTCACATGTGTCAACTTATCTGCAACTTATGAGGGAGATAAGCGAAGGTTAGTGTTGAATGCTGATGCTATGTGAGTGAGTGTGAATGAATTAATGATGAATGAGTGTTCACCCCTGTTCTCTTTTTACTGTCCATTGTTCAGTCCACACCACTCCTGAGGATCCCCAAAGACCCTGGGATCGGCTTCATCAAATCCACCCACACTTTACTTTAACAATATCGTACAGTATCTGTCCGTCCTGTTGTGCACATTCCATCATGATTGTTTTCACATTTTACCATTTTCAAGCAATCATTTAAAACAAACAGCAAAACCATCCCTTACACCCGTTTGGTTTTGAATTGACAATACACATGCTAGAATCTAAGTATTTTCAGTGCTTCTAATATTCCTGCTGTTTTTGCACAGTGCATGGCATCAATTACATTTCCCAACAATAAAACAAAGGTTCTTATGTGTTATTACCCCCTATTTTATCTGTCCAGAAGGCACCTGTCCAGTTCAAATTACTCTGTAGACAGACGTCACTTTTAAACCACCAATATTAGTATAAAATCTATATGGTATGGTTTTTATTTTTACAGGGACAGTGTACAATAAACATTAGCCAGAAGGAGAGATGCATTGTACCAGGTTTTAGCAGCAGTGCTAATTTACACCTGTAGTCCCTGAGCAGGTTGTTGTAAAACATTAAAATAAAAGTATATGGATACATTACCATACATTATCAGACATACATTACAATTTAATTCATCACATTAGATAATAAAATAAAATAACCCATCCCCCATTCTTAACTTTCATACAATCCTACACTGAACTCTCTCTCTCTCTCTCACACACACACACACACACACACACACACACACACACACACACACACACACACACACACACACACACACACACACACACACACACACACACACACACACACTTACGCAGACACTCATCACACATGGGAGCAGATTTGCCTCTCCAGGAGCCATGCTCTTGTCAGGCGTGTGAATACTTTTAGTTCAGTGCAGGTGATGATGTGAGTTGGGAGTGAGTTCCACTGAGTCGCTGCCGTGACGGAGAAGGCTGACTTTCTGAAAGTAGTCCTACCTCATGCTGTAGATCGAGTGGCACGGGTCATTTTTTCAGAGCGCAAGGTCACATATTTCCTGAGGGGTGGGGCTATAAGACCGTTTATAATTTAAAAAGGTAGACACACATTATTATTAAAAAATTGATTTTCGAGGTTAAGAATTTTGTATTTTGTTATAACAGGTCCCTTTCTTTCAAAACAGTTTGGTTCCATTGTTTGTGCATTTGGCCTGTGTCATTACTTTAGATCAGCTGAAAATAAAGTTTCAAATAGTGACTCTTGAACTCTCTCATGCAGTTTTCTAATCAAGTGTACACAGCAGGTCGAGATCTGATTTATTCACAACATTTTACTTTACTTTTACCCCAACTTTTGACTCGATTCATATATTTTTTCCCTTTGTCAGACAATATTTTCCAGTAGGTATGGACAAAACAATGGGTCTTAACTGAGAAGGCTATAGATCAGGGGTCTCAAACTGGTTCCAGAAAGGGCTATCCCTTTCTGGAACCAGTTTGAGACCCCTGTTCTAGATAGTGCGGATCACTGTGGACTAAGGTGCACATACAAAGATCAAGTTTGAGATCCTCCTCTTCGCACTTCCCTCACGCCTCTCTCTGTCCTCTGTCCCGTAGCGCACATCCAGACGTCCCGGGCCCTCATGGTGTCCGCCTCTCTGCTGGGCCTCCCCGCTCTGCTGATGGTGCTGATGGCCATGCCCTGTGTGCGCTTCCAGAACGACACGTCCACCAACAAACTGCAGCGCTCCCGCATCGGAGGAGCTCTCTACATCGTCATGGGTGAGACTCGCCCTGGGTCTGAGCTTGGTTCATTTGGATGGGTGAGACTAGGGAAGCGGCAGTAGAGTGTTTCTGTGCGGATTTTGGTGGGTGGGTTTCCTCTGGGTGCTCCGGTTTCCCCCACCACCCAAAACAAGCAGCAGTATGAGGTGAGTGGGCCGAGCGTGGAATGAATGATCAGACTTCAGAGTCGAGACTTCTTCAAACCTGGAGACTCTAGTGCAGACCTGGTCCAAGTGCAGCCAGGGGCCACTTCTGTCCAATTCACATTTCTACACGGCCCCCGTAACGTTCCCAATCGTAAACCTCAGGCCGGTTTGTTGCTTAATTAAATGAATCAGAAGTGCATATTATGAGATACTATGGCAATGTATTCTGGTCTCGTAAATGAAACAAAAGTTATTAATATTTCTATCTAAACCAATTGTCCACAAAGAAAACACGAGATATCTTCATGTTTGTTAAATACTTAATTCTTTAAAAGTAGCTTTTTGCAAAATCAGAAAAGAAATTAACCCCACCCCTGCTCTAGTGCAAGGCATCATCGTCATTATTTTTTAAATTATTATTATTTTGTTAATAACAACCATACTTTGTGAACGAGTTGTTTAGACTTGGGTTTTGTCAAGTGGAAGAGTTAAAGCATCTCTGGGTCTTCACAAGTGAGGGGCCGAGGTGCCAGATAAAAGCGCTCTTGAGTTTCCTCCTCAGAGTGGCAGGGCGAGATATGAGTGAGGAGCTCATGTTAAGGTTTGTGTGTTGGACCCCAAAGCAGAGACTGAGACGGAGCACAATTCAAGATATGGATTTACTAACAAAAATGAATACAAAAACAGAAGGGAGACAGGGAGCTGGCTGGCTGGTCAGGAAAACGAATACCTGAACACAGGACACAAAAAAACCATGAGTAAAAACACGAAAGCACAAACTCACACTGCTGCTGTTTACCAACTTGTGACATTGAATTATCTGGCAGAGAAGTGATGTCTGCACCAGAGTCTTAACCAGAGCTGATGAGGAACATGTGAGCCCACACACCTGCTGCAGAGCCAGCCACGCCCCCAGTCACACACATGCCCTGCAAAACAGAAAGGGAGGAGGGAGGCAGAGCAAAAACACAACCACAACAGCTCAGTCACATTGGGGGGAGCTCAGAGTAGAGCCGCTTTTAACACATGTCAAATAATTTTAGATATGTTTAATTTTTCATACAATTCTCTGCTGTAACATTATCATTTGCTTCTACCAAGAAAGATCAAGGCTATGCTCACACTCAGAGAGCAGCCGTCCTCCTGTGGACTCACCACCTGCAGAGGGTCAGTGAGGGGCTGGTGCTATGCGACCCAGAAATGGATTAAAGGGTAGAAAATGGATGGATGGATCATTTGCTTCTGTCCAGTCAGTCAAAATGAAACATACTTATGAAGCCATTCCTCATAAAATGAATAGTCCTAATTTAATTGCTTTTGTTTCCTCCCTAAATAATGTCAGGACTTATTATTTTGAGACACAGAACATTTCATTGACATAAAAACTTGCTTTTGAAGAATTCACTTTTCATTTTGAGTTTTCCACAAGGTTTTGCAGTTTGTACAAAAATTGTTCTGAGAAATGCACTAATTTCTGTGCAAATGTGAAGAGTGATGTGAGAAATGCACCAAAGCCACTGAGAAAAACTAACTTAAAATTATTATTATTATTATTATTGTAGAAGGGACATTGCGACACGTTTTGACCTCTCTCAGGTCTTCATCAGAGCAAGAAAAGCCAAATAAAAACATAAATCTGCAGTTTAGGCCTCAGCAGCAGGTGAAGTCGCTGGGTGGGACGTGGACAATATGTGGGAGTAAAACAATAAGCTCCTCTGGTCTCACTCTCGCTCCTCTGTCTCCTCAGCGGTGTTCGGCCTCATCTCCACCATCTGGTTCCCGATCGGCGCTTACCAGAACGACGGCATCATGTCCTTCGGCTTCTCGCTGTACGCGGGCTGGGTGGGCGTCGGCCTCTGTCTCCTGGGCGGAATCATCATCCTCTGCTGCTACGGGGCCGATCCTGCACTGCCGAGTCGCGACACCAGTTTCTACTACTCCAGGTCCCGCGGCGTGGCCATCCCGTCCGACCAGCCCGCCGCCAACCACGCCAAAACCGCCCACGTCTGACACGGTCGCCACAGCAGCTGCTTTCATGGAGACACTGCTTTGCTTTGGAGTCCCCCGCAGAACGTTTTCAAAGGACTCATCTCTTATCTTTGTTATTCATGTTTTGGAATTGAAATATTGTCTGTGTACGGACTTTTTACAGTTAAATTGATAACAACATGATTGAGATATGAGAGAAAGTGACTTATCAGTATAAATGGGTTAAAACAGATGGAAAAAAACACTTTCCAACACATATGATGTCACAGATCTGTCAGTAAAGCTGGGGTATGTAACTTTTGAACCACAAAAAATAATGTAACTATGACTTTTGCAAGACTCTTCATGTCGGGACAAACAACATGCATAATTCATGAAGAGAAAAAGTTAGGTACCCCAGCTTTAAGTGTTCTGAGGGTAGTAAGGCTGCAATAGTAGGTGCTTATATGTTCGTGCATGGAAGCTAAAAAATAAAAATGGGAGTCCAAGGCAAAGCAATGTCTTCTTCATGGAAACCTCTGACCAGAAAAGTTAGTGCAGCTTCATAAAACCAACCAGTTTTTTAATACAGACTTTATAAACAGGGAGACGTGTGTTTTTGACTTAATGGTAGAAAAATGTAGTATTTCCCACATGAATGAATAATTACTTTTGTCTATTCCATGTGTTGAGCTCTTCTCTGTGTGTACTGCAGGACAAAACTGACCTGTTCACACAAGCTTTAAACTTTTACCAAACAATATGTAACAGTCTTTTGTGTCTTTATTAGTAATGTTTCCACTTTAAAGAAGCAATATATAAGATTTCCAGATCATTAAAGGGCCCTAATCTGTCAAAAGGCATCAATAAACTAAGATCTTTTCCAATACTTCTTTAAATGATAACAGAAGTTCAGAGATATTTGGATTTGAAAATTAGTTTTACAGCCCCTAAATCTTGTTTTTGTTTTCATTTCGATGTCCCGCCCTCCACCGTTTTACCAGTCGGAAAGTCTGAGATCCGGGTTGCCAGAACTCAGCGCGTAGAGATAATCTCACTGGTAAAGTACCATGTGGCAGCAGAATTAAAACAGATCTTGTTATGATTCTCAAATAATTAATGACAAAACAAGAAATAAAACCAGGATTTCTATCTTTATGAAAAAGGTGTTGGTTATAGATTTGTTGCTGACTAAACTCCCAGTTATTATGGACCCAGCTGGATTCGTCTGCATATCTGGCAACCTGAGTCAGGGAGAGTGCAGTACCACTTATGGCCAGATTTTTACATACTGCTCCTTTAAATATTTTTCAACTTGTGTTTTTTATCTTGACATTCCCAGTAAAGTTATACCCCAACTCATGATCAACAGGTCAAATGGTGCATTTGTGGTCGCTAATAAAAACTGAAAGAAACTCTCATTGTTTTATTCTCTTTTTGACAAAACACACTTTCATCAGCACAAATGTATCGTTTCAAAAAATCGTTTCAGTCCACGCAACACTCCAACACATTCACTCCAATAACAAGTCAGATATCAGTGCTTTAATGTAGGATACTTTCAGAGGGTGGGAGTGCACGAAGGCGCGTTCACACATGGTCTGGTTCACTTCAACTGGACCAACCCTGGTTCACATGGAGCAAAAAGGATAAAGTACACAGGTCACTGAACTCTTTGACTGCCATTGGCGTATTTGTCTGAGACTGGTGATTTCTGCCAAACTTCCATCTATTCAACTTTTACAATTGTGGGCATTTGTCTCTCACTCCACACAGAGATGGGAGCGGGGCCAATATAGGAGGCACAGGCCAGACCTATTGTACATGTTTTTAGTGGTGGGGGAAACCAGAGCACCCGGAGGAAACCTACACAGACACGGGGAGAACAAGCAAACTCCACTCAGAAACACACCTTCTGACTGGGATTTGAACCCAGGACCTTATAGCTGATAAGCAAGAGTGCTATCCAGTCAGCCACCAAGCCGCCCAAAAACATTTGAAATATTATTGTACATGTATGAACACTTTTTAACAACATCTTTGCTGCTGTTTTTCTCACATCACAACAGTTAATGTTTATCTGAAGTCTACGTAAAGTTCCCGAGATCTCCTGAAAGCAGCATCGATCCTGTGACAGTGTGATGTCATTGTCCCACTATGACGTCACACTCGGAGCAGTGTCTGGTTTTGGTCCTTAGATTAGTTTTGACCATTTTTCTTGGGTGAAATGACGTTCTTAACAATCACATGTCTGTGTTTGCAGCCAGTCATTTTCAAACATGGAAAAAGTTACAGGCAGATGTTTTTACCCTTCGCACTCGTTTCACCGTAAACTGAAGATATTATTTCACATTCTAAAACACAAAACCACAAAGTCTTGTCATCATGTTTAATGGGAAGCAATTAAGTGTAGTATTTATTCTTTAAGTCACTTTGTATATTTCTAAACAGAACTGAACCAGACATGGTCCAGTTCAAACCAGACCAACAACGCACCCAAAACAGAGAAAACACAGGAAGTCAGTTTTGATGGTCAAATGTGTAAAAGTAAGGTTCTAATTCACTCTGAGTCGTTGGAAAACCACAGCTTTGCTTCACGTAAAACTATCCATGGAAATCATAGAAATCATCTTAACACTAGAACTCTCAGAGTCTGACGGCTTTTCACTTAGAAAACTTAAATACTCTGTTTATGTGTTTGCTCTTTATAACTTTTGTAGCTTTTAAAAAAAATATATATAAATGTAGTTTACTTCAATGTAACTATGATTTGTTCATGACTCCATCCTAGACTGGTCCTGAACTGGTCTGGGACTGGTCCTAGACTGGTCTACTCCACCAGAGAGAGAGATCAGAGAGAGAGAGACCAGAGAGAGAGACCAGAGGGAGAGACCAGAGAGAGACCAGAGAGAGACCAGAGAGACCAGAGAGAGACCAGAGAGAGAGACCAGAGAGAGAGACCAGTGAGAGACCAGAGAGAGACCAGAGAGAGACCAGAGAGAGAGACCAGTGAGAGACCAGAGAGAGACCAGTGAGAGACCAGAGAGAGAGAGACCAGTGAGAGACCAGTGAGAGACCAGAGAGAGACCAGAGAGAGAGACCAGAGAGAGAGACCAGTGAGAGACCAGAGAGAGAGAGACCAGTGAGAGACCAGAGAGAGACCAGAGAGAGAGACCAGAGAGAGAGACCAGTGAGAGACCAGAGAGAGAGAGACCAGTGAGAGACCAGAGAGAGACCAGAGAGAGAGACCAGTGAGAGACCAGTGAGAGACCAGAGAGAGAGACCAGTGAGAGACCAGTGAGAGACCAGAGAGAGAGACCGGTGAGAGACCAGTGAGAGACCAGTGAGAGACCAGAGAGAGACCAGAGAGAGAGACCAGTGAGAGACCAGTGAGAGACCAGTGAGAGACCAGAGAGAGACCAGAGAGAGAGACCAGTGAGAGACCAGTGAGAGACCAGAGAGAGAGACCAGTGAGAGACCAGAGAGAGACCAGAGAGAGACCAGAGAGAGACCTGAGAGAGACCAGAGAGAGACCTGAGATGACTGAATGAATTAAGTTTGTTTATTTAAGGGACAGCGTGTAGTTGATTAAAAAGACACCAGATTTAGTGTCATGCTGCTTTCCATCTGTAGTCCTCGCCATGGCGCCACCTTCTGGCGCATTGTTGAAGCTCATGTGTATTTCAGTTGTATTCACCAGTTTTAGCATGTATTCAAGTTAAAAGAACATCAGAATCACTTCATTACAAGAAAAGTATTAAAAACCAACATAGTTTTTTAGATTCTGAATTCTGAGAGTCCTAGTGTTAAGTAAAAGCAGAGAACAGACATAACTGGGCCTCATTCAGTGGAATCCTCACTGTCCGCCCTGTGGTTCAACACCAGCTCCTCTCATGGGTTTCTGACATAGACTCTATTATAGATGGACAACCCTCTAGCTCAATGAAGCCTGATAGGGAAGTGCTCATGAAGGAAGTTTTGCTCCCACTCACTCTGGCTCCGATTGACTTACATTGAAAAGTTGACTTGTGCAGAGCGATAAAACCAGTTACATGTGGCTCTAGAGAACGAGCTGCTTTTACTTAAGTAGTTCATTGACAGGAGCCACATTTTTACTGGATCTTTAAACCAATCTCTATGGCAACAATCCTAGTTTCTCACCATTCTGAGACCCTTGGATACAAAATAACTATAGATGTCTTGAACTGATTCTGCCACACAGGGAGTTATGGGAATATTTTAACTCCTCAAGTCAAATTTCAGGTCAAAACTAAATCAACTGCTAACTATTAATAACTAATAATATCGGCTCAGTCTGCAGGAACATACATATATACATAGATATCGGGAAAGTTCGTCTAGAAAAACAGGTCTGGAAATCCTGGATTCCAACTCTCCATAACACAGTCCTAGTCCTTAAAGCTGGGGTACTCGTTCATCTGTCTCTAAATAACGTGGTTTTGTCTGTAGTTTTTGCGTGCATAACCTCTGTCACATCTTTAGATCAACTTTTCCAGACAGAAAAGTGAAAAAAGAGGAGACAGCCCTTGCTCAGCCAATCAGCTCTTAGCCCAAAGCCCCAAATAGTGACTCCCAGGGCTCTTTCTGACAAGTATCCAAATCATGTTTACGGTAAAGACAGCGTAACAGCAGAGATCGCGGATACAAGCGGTCGAAATGAGCTTCCTCCGCAGAGTGGCTGGGCGCTCCCTTAGAGATAGGGTGAGGAGCTCGGTCACACGGGAGGAGCTCGGAGTAGAGCCGCTGCTACTCCACGTCGAGAGGAACCAGTTGAGGTGGCTCGGGCATCTGTTCCGGATGCCTCCTGGACGCCTCCCTGGGGGAGGTGTTCCGGGCACGTCCCACCGGGAGGAGGCCCCGGGGAAGACCTAGGACATGCTGGAGGGACTATGTCTCTCAGCTGGCCTGGGAACGCCTTGGGGTCCCCCCGGACGAACTGGAGGAAGTGTGTGTGGATAGGGAAGTCTGGGCATCTCTGCTTAGACTGCTGCCCCCGCGACCCGGCAACGGATGAAGCAGAGGAAAACGGACGGACGGGTAAAGACAGCATGACGTGGTCTGATTTGCTCACACAATTTTACAAGACTCTTTTGATTGCGACAAAATGCATTATTTATGACAACAAAAAAGTTACCCCAGCTTTAAACCCCTCCCACTCTATGGCCTGTATTCAGTTTCACAGACAAATGAAATGTTTTTTTTTTTTCTGTATATACCTGTTTGTGTTGAAAAGATAAAATAGAATGTCTTTGGGGGCAGACACCTATCAGTCCGTGTCTGATTTTAATCGTCTTCGTCAAAGAAACCGCGGTTGGTCCTTCCTCTTGAGTTCTTTGCTTTACGTGCAGACTGATAGCCATAGCCCTCTTCCTCCTCCTCCTCCTCCTCCTCCTCGTATGGGACGTCCTGGCCTGGCTGGTTGGGGTGGGCGGTGTAGTTGTAGCCCCTCTCCTCGGGTGCGGACCAGCCCTGATACGGGCGCTCGCCGTCGCCCTCTTCTGGTTGGAATTCTGGGGAGAAGGTGTCATCGAGATGGTCGTCGTATCGCTGATAGGTGCTGGCCTGAGCCTGCTCCTGCTGCGTGTGGAGCTCCAGAGTGCTGTGCCAGACGCCGTAGAAGCAGTAAATCAGTAAACCTGCAGAGAAAAGGATGGAATAATAATAATAACAATAATACAAAAGTGTTATATAGCGCTTTTTGGACACTGAAAGATGTTTCACATGTCATTATTCATTCACTCCATGCACAGTGTTGATACACTAATAATGTAGCCATAGCTGCCCTGGGGCATACAAACAGAAGCAAGGCAACCAGTATGTGCCATTAGCCCCTTCCACCACCACACTAGACTCTTTCTAATGTGGGTGAAGTGCCTTGCCTAATGACACACAGCCATCCCACCGTGGCACCTGGTGTTCTCAGAGGTCTCCCATCACAATACTAACCAGACCCTGTCCAGCTTAGCTTCAGAGGTCCAACGGGATCTGGCTTCACATGCACTTATGGCTGAAGAAGGAAAGACTTTTATTTTATAAATCTGATTTCATACATAACTGTATCTTTTATGTAGTGCATGACTGCTTTTCCCCCAGATGTGCATGTGTGCGCCTCCTCTCGAGTAACCACTAGTCTCTTGTCTGCATCAGCGTTGTCCTTATTCGAGCTGTGAGTCTGGACAGATGGCTGTGTCTCTGTGGGTCCATACATCCATCCATCCATCCCTTTTATCCATTTCTGGATCAGGGGGTGGCAGTCAGAGCACCAGCCCCTCACTGATCCTCCTGCAGGTGCTGAGTCCACAGGACCCTTGGTTATTCAGCAGGGGCTTCAGGCAAAGTGTGGCTAAGTGTCTTGCCCAAGGACATAACAACAGCAGACATCAGTGGGAGTCGTGAAGTAGGTCTTATTGTGGGCTTAAACCCACAACCTTCAGGCTCAAAGGCCGATGCTCTACAGACTGAGCCACTGTCGCCCCCTCTCTCTGTGGGTCGTTTTGTAATATTCTCTCACTAAAGTTGAGCGTGTTTGACAGTGGAGACGCAGCAGTTGAGCAAAGACTATTTTCTATACAGTAAAAAATAAAATAAAATATAAACTATATAAAAATATGCATATAAAATATACAATTGGACTGGAGGTAATTCTTCAAGTTTACTCCAAGCTATGCAGGAAATGCCATGGCAAAAATTTGGAAAGCATAGTTTTAAAGCCACTTTTTCTAAACATGGTATAAAATAAGCATCATATTTGTAGTAAAGACTTATCTGCTACAACACAACTAAATCATATTAACCCTTGTATTATGTTGGAAAAAAATGACATTGATTATGTTGCGGGTCATTTTGACCCGTACTGTGTAAATGCACTCAAAACATTCAAGAAAACAGGTTAAACCAATAACAACTTTATTTTAGTTTATATAAATATTTAGAAAAGTGACATAAAATACATTTTTAATTCCAACGCTATATTTAAGAATTATTTAGTCTAATCTTCTTGTCCTCCTCTCGGGTCAAAATGACAATTCTTCCCTCCTTCTTTCCTCCTGCATGCTTTCTCCTTCCTTTTTCTCATCCTGTTTTCCTTCTCTCTGTTCATCCTTCTATATTCCCTTTTCTCTTCCTTCCTTCCTGTCTCCCTTCTTTCCTTCCTACCTTCCTTTCTTCCTCCCTTCCTCTTCTTTGACCAAAGATTCGTCCTCTGAAACCTCCTTATCGTAGGAAAATTGACAATCTGGATCAGCAATAACATTGTCCTCTGTCTCTGAAAAATCCTCTGTTTCTGAAATCTCTTCCTCTACATCATTATCCCAGTTAAAAATCTGTGAAGCCTCCTCAGATGTCATCCTTCTGGAGCTCATTTTTGCTGAGTTTGTCTAAATCCTAGCGTACATCGACAGAGTAACTGGAGACAACTAGTTGCAAGGCGGCTTTTGGCAACTGAGAGCAGATGATGGAGATGATCAGTTACTGAAATCGGTTGATGTGAGCGCTCTTACAACTGGAGATAAACAGTCGATCTCCGGATTCAGTCAGTTGCCTGTGTTCTACTTTTCGGCAACTAGTTTTACTCAGATCCGGAGATACATGTATCACCCGATGTGCGCGCTCCAACAACATTTGTGTATTGCGTGTATTGCGCCCTCTACAGTTTATGTCAGAAAACACACTGTAGTTGAGGCCAGTTGCTGTCGATGTATGCGCTGTTATTCCCAAGACTGGCCTGCTACTAGGAGATGCCAGTTTTCACCACATTGTCGATGTGTGCGGGGCAGGAACTCAAAGGCAACGGATATAATCAGTTGCCAGTCCGATGTACGCTAAGCAAAAGAGATGACATGAGAACAGTGACAAGGAAAAGTGTGAGAAAGTTCCCTCTCTTCACACACCTGGCTCTGGGTCTCAGAGGCAATCAAAATACAATGTCAAAGAGACATGTTTTTTTGGATCTGAACAACTATTTACCCACATTAAAGCGTCTGGGTCAAAATGACCCGCAACATCATCTTTGTATGCAAACTCTGCACAGACATTCCACTACACATCAAAGTGTCCAGATTTTACACACCTGTTCATGACCCTAGATGAGGAAAAGTCACCAAATTTCAGCAAGAAAAAGAAAGGATAACCAGTACTTTGATCAACTCAAAAACTGAAATGGGTCAAATTGACCCTTAACATAATACAAGGGTTAACTATTTGGAAACTAAATAGAAAAACTGGCTTAGGAGATGTCTATGTTGGTGTATGTTGGCTCCCATAAGAAACATCTGGATCCAGGAATAAGAAATGCATCGAGTTTATTTCACAGCTACAAATGTGACGTTTTCCTCCGGGAGAGTTTTATGTAAGTCGGTCCAAAAGTCTTTCTGTAATTTCAATTCAAGACGTTTTTCTTCTATCACTCCAGTGTTTCTGATTCAGACAAAGAGAAGACTGAAGCTGGAAACGCATCAATCGAAGACATCAAACTGACTTAAAACACATCGTCTCGTCTCGCTGTTTTCGACGTCTGCAGCGGGTTTGTTTTGGAGAAAGTCTATGGTCCACTCTCAGACGCAGAAATAATGTTCACTAAACCAGTTCTACACAACGATATCTACAGCGCCCGTTTAGTCATTTATATTTTTATCACACGGTCAACATATATAAAGTAATATTTAAAAAAGTAAAATACTGCTTTCATGTTTAAATTCGGTCCTCGGTCCGATGTTATTTCTTTCTTTCGTTGGTCCTCACATAATTCCTGCTCAACACCGTGTTAAAGTTAAAGTGTTGTATTGAAGTGAACCCAGCCCCAGTCGTCATAGTAACAAAATTATACATTTAATTTAGAGTGAATGAAAGATATTTTATCTATGTACAGAAAAAAAGGCTGTCTCTTCAAGCTTAAAGAAAGAAGAATGTCGGTCATGTTTTTGTCAATACCTCTCAGATCAGGTTTTAGAATGGCCCAGTTAAAGTCCAGACCTAAATCCAACTGAAAATCTGTGGAAAGACCTGAAACCTGCTGTTCCCAAACGCTCCCCATCAAATCCACACGTATCAAACTCGAGGCCCGCGGGCCAAATCTGGCCCGCACATAGACTGTAAATAGGCCCAGGACCATTTTACTGACCCCAGAAATTATAATACATTATTATCATTAATTAGCTGCACGTTAAGCCTGATTTTAAAGTTTCTACAATCACGAGCCTACTTTGCCTTTGTTTCAGTTTTGGTTCAAGTTTGCATAAAGTACTTCAGTGTGACTCACCGATTAGACACCAGATGGTGAACCGTATCCACGTGAGCGGTCTCAGCTTCAACATCAGGTACGTGTTCACCAAAATGGCTGCCGCGGGGACGAAGGGCACACATGGCGCCATGTACGGTAGGCGGCGTGGGCTCTCGGGCTGCTGCAGGATCGTGACCATCAGCTTCACTAGCGTCCCGGCCGTGAGCGCCGCCACAAACCCCGACACCACGGCCTGGAAGCCGCTGCCCTGCTCCACTCCGAAGATCACAGACGCCCACATGAAGAAGCTGCAGAGGAAGAAGGACAGCGTGCAGCGCGTCACGGTGCGCCCGCTGGCAGGAGTGGGCCGTGCCGTGGCGTCTGGCATTCCCAACCGCAGCCGCAGCGTGTAGTAATGTCCTCCGAGAACACGCTTCAGCAGAGGAGCGTGCCCAGTGTGGAAGTCAGACTCGTCTCCTTCTCCTGCCGCTCCTCCCGCGTGATAAGACGAGTTCTCGTCGTCCATAAGTTTCCGATTGTCGTCTTTTGTGGGAAAATTGTCGTGGAGCTGCTGGATGTCCTCGCCGTCTTCAGACCTGAACTGGTGTGTGTCTGTGGTTTCGTCCGGTTGGTAGCGCAGCAGCAGGATGCAGAGGCTAACCAGCGTGTAAGCTAGCAGCGTGCCAATGGACATCATCTCGATAAGGTCGCGCAGGCTGACCAGCAGAGCCAAGATGGCGGCGAAAGAGCCCGAAATGACACACGCCACAGCGGGAGTGTGCGTGAAGGCTGAGATGTGCGACAGGAATCTGCAGAGACATTTTACAATTAAAGAAGAAATTTAATTAAGTTTAAAGAAAAATGTATTCTTGATATTAGGGTGGATCTAAGGTGGTGTTTAGACGGAGATTCTGTGACATTAAAACTTTAGAGTTGGGTATTGGATTGGCCTTTTGTTTACATGGAGACGGTATTTCAGGTGAAAAAACATGCATTGAGAAACATCCTCCAGAGTGGAACAGAACAGATATACGGCTCAGCAGGAGCTGTTTCACAGCTGTGTGAGGAAAAAGAGGTAAATTCTCTGCTGCAGTGGTCTCACACTTCCCGCACGTACATTTGGACATGCGCAGTAGCTGAGAACAAACGTAAACAACAATGGCAGCGGATCAACGTCTTCGTCTAAACGGGCCATAAAAACCTCAAGTCTGTTTTTGATGAGACTCAGAAAAATAATTTTTTTTACAACATGTCTCCTTTAAAGCTCCTTTACAGAGTACTGTAGCTAACTTTAAAACCACTTTGTTGTTAAAAACATTTTGTCAGTCCTTATGTTGATTCTGAGAGAGGACTGGTCCTCTGAAGAGTGAAGAACCAGTTCCATGGGTTAGATCACATTGTTATTTGTGTGGTTTCAAAGTTAGGTACCTGAGCTTTAATGCCAGCCACATGCTCTCTATGAGCATGAATCTCACCTGAAGAGCAGGCCGTCCCGGGACATGGCATAGATCACTCTGGGCATGGGGAACAGCGAGCCAAGCAGAGACACCGTGAGTCCCGCCACGGCGCCCACAGCAACAACGTACTTCCCCCAAACGAAGCCGTGCACCGCGAACATCTCCAGCAGAGGAGCCGAGCCGTCGATCAGGTCGAACGGAACCATCAGCGTCAGGATCACACTGACCTGAGGCAGAGGAGAGGGGTTCATTTACACATATATGTGCCAAGAGACAAAGGTTATTACAACTAACACACTTAAAAAGAGTGATTTGGATCAATATAATCAACACACTTAAAGCTGGGGTACCTAACATCCAGACTACAAAATAATATTCATCTCACTCCATGTCATTAGTCCCTTGCTCTAAAAACAGTTTTGTTCCATCTCTAGTTTTCACAAGAAGGTATTTTTTTGTGGCACCAATGTGAAATCCTTGTTAGGACTGTGATGAGAGAGCGCTGCTGCAGCTGTCAAAAGCCGTGCATACACTGCAAAATACAGCTGCAGAGGACACTGTGCACACTGGCCAAGTTTTCTTCTGACTTTAAATAAATGATAGTTATATGATGCTGTGATGGAGTTGGAGTTTCAGTGCACTGTAAAAACAACGCGTTACAGTGAGGGGCCTCAGTAGTTTGAATAATAATATTTCAAAGTTCTTTATGGTGCACGGACCGACACATAAGCGGTGAGGCAGGTGACCAGTGAGGCGGTGATGGCGTAGGGGATGGAGGTGTGTGGGTCTTTGGCTTCTTCTCCAGTCGTCGCGATGATGTCAAAACCAATGAAAGCGTAAAAACATGTGGCTGCTCCCTGCATCACCTGCAAAAACACCAACAATTAAAACAGGAAACAGAAGCCAATCTGAAAATGATGCCTGACTGTTCATTTATCATTCATTAAAAAAAAAATGTGTTTGTGTTAAAATGTATTGTTTTGTGCAGATGTTTTTTTCTTGTGTGCTGTTGCCCGCTGCCCTCTGCTTCTGTGTGAACGTGCTGTGGGCGGGACATGGAGGAGGATGGTCTCTGATTGGTGGGATGGCAATTGTAGCAAGAAGAGAGTTTTAAACAGGGAGGATCTTGGCCTTCTCCATCTCTCTCTCTCTCTCTTGTTTCTCTCTCTGTCTGTCTCCCTCTCTCTCTCTCCCTCTTTCTCTCTCTTCGGCCATTTTTGTAATACTTAATACTTACTCTATTTTGTGTTTTTCATTTCGTGTTTGGTTTCCATAATAAACCTATTGCCAAACCTTGGAGTGACTCAGTGTTTTAATGATTTCCTTATCCTTGTCGTGACTTATGTCTGGGTGTAATCAGAAAATATTGGTCTGGAGAAGCCGTACCCCGGACCATCCATAGGGCAGAAAGTTCCCTCCCTCCCAGTTGCGAGCAGAGATGAAGAAGAGTCCGGCGATGATCATGAAGACCCACACGACCAGATTGACCACGTTCAGGACGTTGTTGAAGCCGACAGAGTTCCTGACGCCCAGAGCGATGATGGCGGTGACCAGCAGTACGATGAAGAGCGCCAGCAGGTCTGGGTACGTGTAGTCGTTTTTACCTGAGAGACAGAGACATCTGTGCTTCAACAGCTCTCTGCACCCAACGCACACAACCATGACAGAGATGTGGACAAAACAAAACCACATGTGTGCTTTAATTTGTAATACTCTAAAATAAATGTGTGTCTCAGATTAAATAAAAACATTATCTAAAAGATGATTCTGTTTAAAAATCCTTTTCAAAAGCACTAAAGCTATGCGTGGACGAAAGCACTGAGCAAGTAGTGGGAGAGAGGTGTGGGGTCAGAGAGTGTTTGGCCTGTGTCTTGAGTGACGGTGTGTGTGTGTGTGTGAGTTGTTGATTCTCTAACAGGTGCCAGAGTGGGGCGGCTGCGACTGTATAGTGCCAAGCTTTTGCTGTGTCCTTAGGCAAGACACTTCACCCACATTGCCTAGAATGAGTCTGGTGTGTGAATGGCAATGAACGAACACAGCCATTGGTCCACAGGGAGCAGGATGACCACTGTTCAGAAAAGTTTATAATGTCCGTATATGTCGTGAATCATCACTGACCACCAGGAGTCAGGCCGTAGAACGATGAAAGTATAATCAAACACATTTCATTCATAAATGTGCTTTACCCAGGCCTCGCAGAGTCCCCAGGTGAGTGATCATGTAGTGGCTGATGGTGTGATTGGCCAGAGAGTCGAACATGCTGCTGAGCGCCGAGGCCCCGGCTGCCGTCCCGATCAAATACTCCAGAATCAAGTTCCAGCCGATGAAGAAGGCCACGAACTCCCCCACGGTGACGTAGCTGTAGGTGTAGGCTGATCCCGTGGTCTTTGGGACGCGCACACCGAACTCAGCGTAACACACACCTGAACATACATCACACAGCATTCTTTTTAACCATATACTACCCAGACAAGTGAGTCTGAATGTATACTGAGACAAGAGAGGTCTGAGTCTGCATGTTTACTGAGACAAGAGAGGTCTGAGTCTGTATGTTTACTGAGACAAGAGAGGTCTGAGTCTGTATGTATACTGAGACAAGAGAGGTCTGAGTTTGTATGTATACTGAGACAAGAGAGAGGTCTGAGTCTGTATGTATACTGAGACAAGAGAGGTCTGAGTCTGCATGTATACTGAGACAAGAGAGGTCTGAGTCTGCATGTATACTGAGACAAGAGAGGTCTGAGTCTGCATGTATACTGAGACAAGAGAGGTCTGAGTCTGTATGTATACTGAGACAAGAGAGGTCTGAGTCTGTATGTATACTGAGACAAGAGAGGTCTGAGTCTGTATGTATACCGAGACAAGAGAGGTCTGAGTCTGTATGTTTACTGAGACAAGAGAGGTCTGAGTCTGCATGTATACTGAGACAAGAGAGGTCTGAGTCTGTATGTATACCGAGACAAGAGAGGTCTGAGTCTGCATGTATACCGAGACAAGAGAGGTCTGAGTCTGCATGTATACTGAGACAAGAGAGGTCTGAGTCTGCATGTATACTGAGACAAGAGAGGTCTGAGCTGATCATAAGATGCATCAAGGGCCAAACATACTTTCCTACAGAATAAACTCTTAGCCTCTGCCATATACTACGCTGCCATGTGCTGGGCCCCGGGCAGCACAGAGCGGGACAGGAGTAGACTGAACAAGCTGGTCAGGAGGGCCAGCTCCACTCTGGGCTGCCCCCTGGACTCTGTGGAGGAGGTGAGGGACAGGAGGCCCCTGGACTCTGTGGAGGAGGTGAGGGACAGGAGGCCCCTGGACTCTGTGGAGGAGGTGAGGGACAGGAGGTGCTAGTCAAAGTCACCTTCATCATGGACAACACCTCCCACTGCACAGGACTGTAGAGGAGCTGAGGAGCTCCTTCAGTGGAAGAACGAGCGCTCCCGCAGGGCCTTCAACCCCACTGCTGTCAGACTGTACAATAAGTCAATCTAAGTCACTTGCAATAGGACTGAAAAAACCTGCACTACTTATTGACACTTTTAAATTGCCACTTTCTATTGTACATAACATATCGTGTATTCAACATGTTGCACATTTCTTTCTTTTGCACAATCTGTCCAATCTGTGTTTCTGTCCATGCCAGATGTGACATGTACATTTGTCCAGTGTGAGATCAATAAAGTCTAATGTCTTAAATGCAGTTCTACAGTTGATTTGAACAGGTTTAACTATATTTTATAAACTGTATGTATTTTAAACGTACACAATGTCAAGAATAACACACCACACGTCTACTCTTTAGCCATTTCTCTCAAAACATAGCGAGCCTGTTTGGGGATTGATCCCACATCCTTGGCATTATTAGCAACACGCCCTTTCCAACTGAACTGATCAGCCTTTGTATCTTCAGAGAAACTTGTGATAAAAAACAAAACTATCAATTTTTGAGAGCAATGTGCATCAAACCTCAAGTTTTCTTTATATATTTTCACAGTTTATGAATCTATCTTTATCTCATTTTTATTATGAACAAAGGTGAGCAGGGACTTCTAGACATATCATATCAGGAGCTGCAGAAATTAAATGATTATCTCATAATGACAATAACTTTCCAATTGCACCTGTTTTCCTTTGGCATGATCTTGTTGATATTCAAGGGAAAACACATGGCAAGGTGGGGGCTTACAATAAAAAAAACATGCAGTAAATAAAAAAATGGCCTAAAGAACCCTTACGCGTTTTTGATGCTATGAGCACTTCACCCCAGTTCTGTGTTCACTTGACTGGTCCTTAGTTTCTTCACAAATCACATTCAAAGCTCTTGAGTTAGCAGTCACTTTTTCTTAAATTTTGTTTATTTTAAACTTATTTTGTAATTATCTTGTGTGTTCAATCCATATCTATTATAATTTTCATAATTCATTTCCTTATTTTCAATGAGGATTCTTTGCCAACATGTAAAGTAGCTGCAAAAGATTGCCACGGCAACAGAAGAGTGGAACATTCTATCATCATGGCAACAGTGATTCCATTGGAATCATTACGTCATCAAAGCTAGGGTCTGCTGTGTTTGTGTGTCTGTCTGTGATTCGTATATATAGTCAAACAAAAAACGGAGTAAACGGAGTAAACGAAGTAAACGGAGTAAACTGAGCGAAATGGCGTGTTTTCGAAGGCAATCAAAGAAGGCCAAGCTGATTGAAAAGCTTGAAGACGACGTGATGGTGTTGCAGGACAAACACAAGAGTCTTTTGGAGGACCTGCAGAGGGAGAAAATGCAGAGGGGCGAGATGGAGAAGACTCAACTGGAGGAAAGTCGCCAACAGCAGGAGCAGGTGATCCAGCTCCAGACGGAGAAATCTGCCTTGGAGACTGCCCTAATGCAGTCAGAGAAGAACTCTACTTCTATCCAAGACAGACTGAATTCCACCATTCAGGAGAAGACTGTACTTCAAGAGGAACTGCAGAAGGCCCATGAGGACAATGAGGCCTTGGACATTGCAATGAAGACGTCTGCTAAAAAGACAGACGCAGTGATTGGAGATCTGCAGAATGAGCTTGTGCATGTCAAGTCTGAGAACAATAAGACAATAGACTGCTTGAAATCTCATATTCAAGAAGGCATCCGTTTCATAGACAGGCTCAAGACCCAGATGCAGGACAGAGAGACGGCAAATACCCTTTTGGAGGAAAGTCTAGCAAGCACCCAAAAGGAGTTGAAGGAATGTAGCACAAATTTCCTTCTGAAAAACTCTGATATTGCCAAGATGGAGGCGGAGAATGGGAAACTCACAGCTCTGTGTCAAAGGTACAAGACAAAAATAATGGACATGGAACAGCAGCTGAAAAACTTGCACGCTGCGTCGGATAAAAGACTTCTTGTGGCCCAGGAAAAATCCAAAAATGAGTTGGAGGATGTCAAGAGGACCTGTGAACACTCCATTCAAGAGCTGAGGAAGCAGGAGGCCAACGCAAACCAGACAATTAAAGAGTTGAAGGCCAAGCTCTTGTGTCTGGAAAAGCATTCTGAAGACATGAAGAAAAAGTGGGAGGAAGAATGCAAGGAGGTGCAGAGGATGAAGCAAAGTCATCAAGAAAAGATTCCGCCGGCCGCTCTGACCAGGAGCCACCCCTCGCGGCCGGGCGGAGAAGAGGACCACATTGAGAGAACCGCTGATGTTCTGGTAATTGGCAGCTCTATTGTTAGAGATGTCGAGATCCCAGGGGCCACTGTTCTGTGCTACCCTGGGGCCAGGATGGGTGACATTGAGGGGAATCTGAGGGTCCTGAACCAAAACAAGCAGCGTTTTCGTCTAGTCGTCATTCACGCGGGTGGCAATGACGTTAGGCGGAAACAAACAACAGCAGAGATGTTGAAGGTGCAGGTTGCCGCCGTTTGTAATCTGGCGAGCACAATGGCGGACACGGTTATCTTTTCTGGTCCCCTTCCTAGCACCGGCAGTGAAGAAGCATACAGCAGCATGTTATCTTTCCATCGCTGGCTGTCTGGTTGGTGCCCTCAACATGGTGTTGTCTTTGTTGACAACTGGAGCACCTTCTTGGGAAAGCCCGGTCTCATGCGCCCGGATGATGTCCACCCAACATTGAAGGGTACAGCCCTCTTGATCAAGAATATGGAAATGACTCTAAGTTCTCTGACCCGCTCAAATGACAGTCCGCCACAACCTCTGAGTTCCCACCAGAGAAGAAGACAAAACCTCCGAGTGCAACGCTGGTAAAAACACAACAAGGTGTTGTGTTTAGGCCAAACCAGCCACCACAGGTCACAATCAACACAACAGGACAAAAACGAAAACCGAAGAAGACACCAATACCAACAAATTCCTTTAACTCCCAACTCCGATTACCTAAAGTCTGAACTTTTCCACAATGACAACAAAGACTTCAACACAGCAAATTCAAAAGTGTTAAGTTCAGATCCCTACTCAGCCGAAGGATTTGTAAGTACTCTTTTTATATACAGCTTATCTTTTGTTAACCTGCATAAATAATTTTCAATACTTGTTTTGTTCTAAAGGAGCACCTTTATGACCCTCTGGGTGGGTCTGGTTACCTGTCCTGCTTAAGTTCACCCGAAAAGAAAGCGTTGGCTACAACTTGAAGACCAGCTATTCGGAGATGACTGCCAAGAAGCTGTAGATCAGGGGTGCCCAAACCTTTTGCTTCCAAGGGCCAAAGTAAAACTTTGCCAGTCGGCCGCGGGCCAAATACACCGATATTATGCATGAAACACAAATAAATGTAGATTTGATCAAGTTCTTTTAAATGCATTAATTATTGTCTATCAGTGCAAATCACAGCTGAATGAATGAAATCAACACAGTCTTAGTGAAGTGGAGGCTCCTGGGAAATATGCAGGTTTGAGGAGACTACAGTACGGAAAGATTCCGGCCGGGTAATCAGGGTCCAGAGGAGGGAGATTATCTGTCATGGCTTATTTACAGGTTAAAATCATATAAAAAACCTCAAAAAGAGAACAGAAACATACATTTTGTGTGCACCATGTGCACTTGTATATTGTAAATAGTAACTGTAACTCTATTTTAAATTTAAATGTATTCCTTAGAAGTGTTTTTTATTCTTTATTTTTATTATCTCTGTTGCACTGAGCCAAAGCAATTTCCAAGTCTGTGACTTCCTGTTACTTACGTGGCAATAAAAATTATTCTGATTCTGATTTTCTATGTAAATAAACTGTTTTTTAAAACGCTACTAAACAAATAGTGTTCCTGCTAGTAAATGAAAATACTAATTTATATTTAAAAATAGCATACTCCCAAATTAAATAATCTATATTTTTAACCTGCTCATGTCAGTAAACTGTTTGTTGAAGACCTTTTTCTAAACAGTTTTGCATTACTATAGTACAGTGATTTATAATGTATAGGTTTATTGTACTAGA